CCTATTACTATTATTATTATTATTACTATTAGGATTAGCTTTAGTAGTACTTTTAGTAGTACTTTCCGTATTATCTTATAGCTTCTAGAGATTAGTAAGTAAAGAAAAATCCTAGTATATATAAGTTAATTAAACCTAAAAACAAAAAAGAGTTTATAGAAGAAATAAAGAATAGGAGCCAGAATTAAAAAAGAAAATTATATATATATTTTTATTTATTTACTAGTTTATTAGATTTCTTTTTATTTTTAAAGTCTTATACTTATACTAGTAAGTAATACTTTTCTGGGCTCTTTAGGCCTCCTTAGTCTATTATTTAATTTCCTTAAATTACTATATTTTCTAAGTATTTTCTAACTTTTTATAAGTAATTTTAAAATAGAGATCTTTATATAAAGTTTTCTTCTAAATATTTTCTAGCTTTTTATAAGTAATTTCAAGATAAATATCTTTATATAGAATCTTATTCTAGTATAAAATAAGAAAAATTATTCAGATATCCTTAGGGCTTAGATATATACTATAATAGGAAAGATTAAAGATAGTTTAGATAGAACCTAATAAGACTATAAGTTCCTAGGCTCTTTTACTATTAGAACTAGTATAGAATACTAGTTTATTTATATTATTAATAAATTAATAATAGTAAATAGGTCTACTAATATAGAAAAAGAAGTAAGGAAGTAGTTACTAAGAAACTATATTAGAAAGAGTAGAAAAAACTCAATTATTTATTTTAAATTAAAAGCTATCTATTAAAAAATATTTATTAGAATTTATATAGAGAATCTAGTAAAAGAAATAAGAGAAAACTTACTATTAACTTCTTTAGAAAATTAGATAATTCTTTATTTAGTTCTCTAATTCTTTATATTATTAAATACTTACTTATAGAGAACTAGCTATAAAACTATAGTCTATAATTTTATAAGACTAGATCCGGCTATATTTTGATTTATAATACCTTAAAGAGCTCTAGGTAGCCTATTACTAGTATAAGGAGCTATAGCCTAAATAGTAGCCTAAGTAACTCTTGTATTTATAGCCCATTAAGCTTATATAGTAGTATAAATACTACTAGAAAAGTAGTTAGGTCAAATAATATAGCTTATAGTAAAAGGAAATACAGAAAGAAATAGTTATAGGGCTATTAGAATAAGAGAAGCCTGGGGTAAAATAGAACTAGTACCTAATAGCTATATAGTAATAGTAATTAGAGAAATAAGTATAGTAAATATTTCTAGAAGAAAAGATATAGGATAAGAATACTAAAAAGAGCTAGAGATCTAAAGTATTTCAGATATAAAGAGGGGGGCAGATATAGACGGAATTCTAGAGCTATAAGGTTTAAGTCTACTAGTATTACTATTCTAGATAAGTAAAGTAGCGGCCTCTATATTATATTTATTATTAGTAGATTAATAGAACTTGTAATATTAGATATTACTATACTAGTATTTGGCTATAGAATATATAGTATTAGGGCAGGTTTTAAGAAATAGTAGTACTATTTTAAGAAATAAGAATTTAAGGATATAGAATATTTATATAATAAATAAATTTAATAATTCTATTAGTATTATTTTTAAAAATAAGAAAAGAATTTCGAAAATAATATATTTAATAATAAATAATACTTATCTTAATATATTTAGTTATTCTATAACTGGCTTATTTAATTACCTTATATTATTAGGAGTATTACTAATAAAGAGCTATTCCTAAATAAAGTCCTAGATTATTAGGAACTATACGGGTATTTTTCTGGCTTATATATTATTTATATACTTTATATTTATTAGAATAACTTACTTAAGAATCCTATTTTATATAATAGTAGTATTATATTTACTAGTTAGCTTTTCGGACTCTTCTAATATTAGTAGCTGCCCTAAAGCTATATATATCCGGACTATATATTAGAGCTAGTAATAAGCTTAAATATATAGTTAGTTACTATTTCTATTAGTATCTCCTATATAAATATTAGCTATATTTATATTATAAGATATAAGCTTCTAATAATATTACTCTAGTATTTTTCTTAGTAAAAACTTATTAATATTTATATTAGTATATAAGTAAACTATTTATATAGAGCTATATAAAGTTATATTACTTATTCTAAACTAAATAATTATTAAGAATTATATTATAAAGCTCTATATTTATAGAGTAATTCTAGTACTATATCTCGCCTAAGGGCCTTATATATAGTCTAAATAGCTTGCCGGCTACTATATTAGGTCTAGATCTATTTTTTCTAATCCTATAGATATTCTATAAGTTTATAAACCTATATATCTCGTTTTAGATCCGCTATATATAAAGTACTAGTAAAGTAATCCGGTCTTATAAGTATTAGTAATTATAATTCCTGGTATAGGCCAGTTCCTAAAAATAGTTCTATATATACTAATTAGAATTAGTTATATAATTCGGTATTATAATACTAGATCTAATAGCCTTAATAAAAAGTAGTATAATTATTAGTATCTAATACTTTTTTCTAATAATAGAAAGAATAAGGGGCAAATATAGGGAAACGGAATTACTTATATATTACCGGTATAACTAGTTCTTCTAAAGCTCTTATTACTAGGATTTAATCTACTAATTCTCGGTACTTTTCCTAGAAATAAAATAGTTTTCTATATATATAACTAATAGATTAGCTATTTATAAGAATATAAAATATATTTCGGTAATAAGAGAAAGTTTAGAGCCTTAATTAGCCCTAAAGAAATAAGGGTAATAGCCTATTTAAGTATAAATCTGAAAATACTACTATATAACTAAATAAGTAATTTAATTAGAGATTCTAATATATATCTAGATAATATTATATAAATAAGTATTAATATAAGTATATATCTTAATCCCAAATAGTAATAGCTTATTATATTTATTAATTAACTAAATTTAGTCTAGCCCAGATATAATATATTCTTCTTTTTTAGACTATATCTATTATATTTATAATATAATTATCTCGGGATTCAGGAGTTATAATATTATATATAAGTTCTTCCTATAAATAATAAAATATATTAGTAAATAAGGCCCTAACTTTCCAAGCTAGGGCAAAATAGTAAAGTATAGAAAAACTAACTAGGTTACTAGTAAACCTTATTAATAGAAATATATATATAAATACTACTATCTATAACCTATAATCCGCCTATTATTTAGCTTACTTTATAGTATTATAAATAGTTACTTGTCTGCCGCTTGCCTATTTATTATAGTTATATAGTAAATAAAACTAAGCTTCTTATATATATAAATAACTCTAGTAATTAAAGCTATATAACTATAATTCTTAAGATTCTTAAGTATTTCCTTATTTATATCTCTCAGATAATATAGGATTATAATCTATATATAAAGGAAAGATATATCTATTATTTAAATATATATTTGGATATTCTATTCTTATAATTACTATTAGATTATATATAGATTAACTAAGATTCTATATAAATCTTTTAATTTATTTATAATTTCTTCTTAATTAATATTTATATAAGCCTATTTAGTAATAGTTTTATAATATAGTAATAGATTTATTAAAAGTTATAATATTATTTTAATAGGAATTAAGTTTAAGGTATACTTTATTATTATAATATACTTTTTAGTAATATAAATACTAAAAAACTCGAGTAATATTATTCCTATATAATTTTATTAATTAATTACTAAAAAAAAGTAATTAGCCGGCTTCTTAGTTATTTTAATAATTTAATTTTCTTATTTCTAATCTTAGAAATATTAAGGAAGTTATTAGACCCTATTAATAGTATTATCCTAGAAGGGCTTATAGCCTATAGTTACCTAATTATAGTAATTTGTAATAAATACTTAATTTTATATTATACTATCCGGCCTAATTTTGGTACGATTTTATATAGTAGTATGGGCTCTTACTTCGTTAATTAGACAAGCAAGCAGCCTTACTATTATTGTATTATCCAAGCCCTTGGGGAGGAGGGGAGGGGTACGGGGCGCCAGTGCGAAAATCAGAAAATCAGAAAATCACTTTTCGCTTCTCGGATTTGTCCGCTAGCTAGCTGTGGGCCTCAGTACTGAGAGCAAAATAGAAGTGGAATTTGTCACGAGACACAGCTCGGTGGTAGCACAATTTTCAGAGCCAGGCATTCAAGGAAGTCTCGGCAACTGTTGGTAGAGCCATGCTCTCCTTGTGCCATACTTAACAGGGAGGTGCTAGTGAACGATAGTCATCGGATTCTCAAGCGTATAATAAGACGATGTTTGAAAGGATCTCCCCTGGCGCTCTTTCCCATCTCTCCCCACGACGAGTCTATCGTTTCTTTTGTCTGTGGGCAATGTTTTAGTTACTCTATCTTCTATTCGTTTGCGAGAACAAGCCAGACCACAGAGATTCATGTCACCTTCATACAACTTCTTTGGAGATGAAGCATTAGGATATTCTGAAATTCCATAAACGTGGGCAGGATCAGTTTGCTGCCCAAGCTCCACCTTCTTTGATATCGAATATCAAAATCCAGCGATTCAGCATTCATCTTTTCTTAGCATTCCATGGCAGCCGAGAAGTATCTTTGGTGAATCGTCACTGTTTAGACTCGCTTCCCTCCGATTCACCTTCATGTCTAAATTTTTGATGTTCAAGTGAATACGCCTCCATAACAACTACAACTTGGTTGATTCTGCTCGTATCACAAAAGTTGTCTTGCTACCACCTTTAACTCGACCACCGTCAACCTGAATAGCAACGCGGATTCTCTTCCCGTAAGACGGACCTCCTTCTACATCACCTGAGCCACACAAACCCAAACTCAACATGTGTCGACCAAACAAACACTCCGGCATAGGGTTCTCCCCCGAGCCCGAGCCCGAACCGTCCACCGTACTCCCCTGTCCTGTCACTTCCTCATCCTTCCACCCTCTCTAACCACACTCCAGAACCGAGAACTCGACCCAGCCTCTGCCGAATTCCTCGAAGGCCAGACCCTCTACCGAAAAATCCGCTCCGAGATCCAAGCCCAAATAACCACCGAAATCGAGTCCTCCTTCCGGGCCTCTATGACCTCCAAGATGAAGGCGGAGATCCGACGAGGCATGGTGCTGGACGTGCAGGAAGAGGGGCGTAAGCTGTTAGCGAGTCAGAAGAAGAAGTTGATAGAGGGGCTGAGGAAAGAGGTGAGGAAGGAGATTGAGAAGGAGTTGGGGTTGGAGCCAGAGAGGGAGGAGAGATTGAGGGAGAGGGTTAGGAGGGAGGTCGGGGAGCAGGTAAGGGGAGAGTGGGAGAGGAGGGTTGAGGATGTAAGGAGGGAGGCGAGATATGAGATGGAGGAGAAAGTTGCGGAGTTGGAGGAGAGGATCGAGGAGTTAGAGGCTAGGGATAGGAAGTAGAGGGTGCTTGGTTGTTTTGGAGTTGTCGTTGGTTTGGTTCTGATCGCTTCATCCACCTGTTCCCGAGGATTTGCATGGGTGAAAATTGACATGAAAGCAAGTCAACTTTCTCCAATTTTCGATTGATGCAGATTGATTGCTATGATATAATGAGAGACGAGCGTGCACTCTTACAGTGATGAAGAAGAGAATGCTTCTGCAGTAACAAACCACGAAAACCAGAACACAGCCCCTTTGCTTCCGAACACGAGCTAATACATACCAATAAGTAGACCATATCATAAGAACAGGAGGAACCCCTTTTGCTTCGGAGCTCCAGCTAACGCATAATGTGGAAAACATGGGTAATAAGAACAAGAGGAGCTCAGTTTGCTTCCATGTGTCGGCAAAACAAGGAACATGTTCGAAAGTCAATGCTCACTCCAATGATACATCCTCCATTCTGCTCGTGTTCATCACCTCACTATCCATTGGGGAGCTACCACCGTTGCTCTGTCCATAGGCATCAACCTCCGTGTCAGATGTATCGGCTTCATAGCCAGGGGTTCTCGGACCTTCAGAAACAGTGCACTCAGTCACCTCGGCCAAAACCTCGGGACCCAAGGTCTTCTTCGTAAGTCTCGTGTACTCCGATATTTCAGATTGAGTGACTCGGTTGGCTCTATGAGTAGTCGGCTTCGGTGTCAAGGCTCGCTGCAAATTGACATTGTACTCAGACTCTTGGGTTTCTGAAACTCGCTCGTTTCTCTTGGGAGGCACTGGGTCAGACAATTTTACGCCCATTGCTCCCTCTGTTCGTTGAATAAATTCAATCTTCATGCCTGCCCAAAGCTCTGCATTGTCTTCTGCAATACTCGTCTCGTCTACACCTCCACAGTCAATCGAATCTTCTTCGCGGAATGTACTATTGCATCCGAGTCGGAGAAGAGTGCCGTGGATGGAGAGATCGATCTTGAAGAGCTGACCCATCTGATATGTGAAGCGCCTATCAAAGAAGAAGACCAACTCTTGTTTGATCCGTAGCTGAACTGCTTTCTCCATTCCTTGATACCATGGATGAGCTACAAGGCAGCGGAATGTTTCCTCTCTATCAGTCAGGAGAGATCGGCTGACGAACCACTCAGCAGCCCTAAACTGGGGGAAGTCAGCCCTCATTATTCTCTGAGGAGGCCCTGGGAACTCACAGCCTCGCTATTGTCCCAACTGGCACTGGTACAAATCAACGACAGGAAGTAGAGGTTGAAATCCGTCATCAATTCAAGTTCGGGGTCGCAGTCAGAACTGGAGCATCCTTGCAACATCTCATCTTCTGGGCGGAATCGGTGAATAATCTCTCTGGCCAGGTTGACATAACACTCCTCGGAAAAAGGTGCTTTGACGAACTCGTCGTTGCCGTCTCTTCCAACACAAATCAGATCCCGTTTTCTATATTTAAGCATTGCTGTCTCCCATTGCTTATCCATCACTTCAAGCTGAAGACGGTTCGAATTATCTTCTTCGATCGGGCCTAGAATTTCAGAGAGTCAGCATTTTTCAACGTCTCGAGAGCAGTTCGAACAATGGCCCGATTGTCCTTGCACATCTTACCTTGCTGCTTCTCGATTTGTACCTCTTCAAGTCGTTCTGCAACCTGAGCATCGCACAATGCACCTTTCTCATTGTAGGATTGTGCCATCTGTCTAATCTCCCCTTTCAGTTTTTCAATTTGGACATGCTCTGATACGACTTTGGCGTTGAAGATCTTGGTAAACAGCTTCTCTGCTTGACGGGTTACCTCACTTTCAGCAACCTTTTGAAGGTCATCATAACGCTCGAACTCGATTTCAGCGTTTTCCTCAATGTCCATAAAGGCCTTGGAACAACGGGGAGTTACGGTAGCATTCTCCGGAGTGGATGGCTGACAGTGCATCCTGGGTTTTTTGGACTTTGCTCTTGAGGTCCCCTCTTGAGTGTCGGCGGTCTCGTCGACGCTCATGGATGTGAATGAAATGTCTGATTTCACGTTCAGGCCCGCCATATGGTCTGTGATAGAAGAAGAAGAATTATCGGAGCTTGACTTCGACTTTTTCTGTCGGAGTTCAGAGATGGTTAGGATGTTGTACTCATGTGATGAAGTACAATAGAGAGGGGGCCGACGAGGGTAGAGAAGAATAAGATGTGCACATACTGGGCTTGGAGGCAAGTCACCACTGCGAAGACGTCTCTTTGATGGAGAAGAAGGTTCCACTGGGAAGACAGCGTCCGACAAGGGTGATGAGGCAGAAGGGTCCCTCCTTAAGTCGCGGGTCTCCTCAAGATTCTCCGACAAGGGAGTAGAGACTACTGACGTTGAATCGTCCGCAGATGCCTCTCTAAAGGACTTGGTGCTGAACGCAGATGGTTTTTCATCGCCTCTCTGTCCAGGTCAGTAGAGCCGGTATTCAAGATACAGTTGCGGATAGCTTACGAATTCAGGCATGTTTGGAGGGAGACCGGCTGCGTTACGCTGTCGTTCTCGGGCAGTTCGACCTATCCTTGAGGGCGTCTTTTTGGGTGTCTTTTCCTTGGAAGACATTATGGCTTTGCGTGGCGGTCCACCAACCCGATTGATAACTAGTTTGTTAATTGTGATGGAAAAAAATGCGTCGAGTCTTGTTGTAAGTGACAACGCAGAGAGAATCAAAGGTGGAAGGAAGACGAAGATGGAAGAAACTTGCCGGCGTGGAAGACGTGATTCAACAAGACAAGTAGCTTCAAAGGTCTTGCTGTAGAGGGAAGGAACAATGTGCACACTACACTTGCTTCATAAGCATGGGCGTCTGTAAATTGTAAGCGGCGCCTGGAAGGAGCAACCCGCGACTTTCCCTTCTCGAAATCGAACAAATCAACAGGAAGAAGATTGTCGAGTGTAGACGTCCTTCGAATGAAATGCCACTGAAGGACTTGAAATGAACATTGTTCCTCATTGTCCACCTTCTTCTGGGACTTTCAAATTAATTCATAGGCCAAGAACTCAATCTGAAAACAGAGAGACGGGGTTTCATCCCAAAAGTTGACTCTTAAGCTGCTCCGCATCCCGTAAAAGTCGGAGCACATCGGATACTAGGTACAAACTTCCAGCAATGACCAAAGGTCCCCCGTCAGCAACCGTAGCTGCCCAACGCAAAGCGCCAGAAAGGTTACTGTCAGCATCGCGAAGTTGCGTAGTATCGAGGCCACAAGCAGAAGCAGCAGCTAGAATGTCCTGAGGGGCCATTGCTTCAACCCAAGGCATCCTATCAACAGGAACAAACTTCACAGCCGCAACACAATCACCTGGGTACAGCAGAGGTTTCAAAATGCCCTCGAGCTCCTTTCCTTTCGAAGCCGCAAGGACCCAGGTAACTTTACTTGCCCCTTTACGCAGCCTGTTATCCACATATGATCCAAGAACCTCTGCAGACTGGACATTGTGAGCCCCATCAAGGAGAACAACTTCTCGCCGCCCTGTGACACTCCTGATGTCTAAAGTCTGTAGACGTCCTGGCCAGCGAAGGTTTTGAATTGCGGGCAGTAGGTGGTGTAGAGGAGATGCAGGCTTGGTGTATGCCAGATGGAACGCCGTGTATGCGCATGCCAGATTTTGCCATTGGTGGGGCTCAAAATCCTCCTCCGAAAGTCCGTCGAGAAAGGCTGACTCGGTAGAACTCAATATCACATCAGTTCCGATCTCTTTTGCGTAGTCCTCGACGACCTTCCGAACGACTGGTGGATTGCTTTCGTCCAAAACACACGGTACGCCGGGTCTCATGATACCTGCCTTTTCACGGGCAATCTCTTCTATGGTGTTCCCTAGGAAGGACTGATGGTCTAACCCAATCTTTGATATGACTGTGACAACCTTGTGCTCCATAGTATTTGTCGAATCTAGACGTCCTCCGAGTCCAACCTCGATCACGCCCATCTCGATTTTTTCCTGGGCAAAGACTTCGAATGCTGTTGCTGTAAGGAGCTCAAACTCCGTAGCTCCTATGCCGCCCTTATGATTCCTGTCCATCACAAGATCCTCGGCACGTCTGAAGACTGACTCCTGGACTGTTTGGTCGTTGATTGTGATACCATCCCAACGATCAATCAAATGGGGAGATGTGAAGCGGCCAACGCGCACACCGCTCGCGCAGAGCATGGAAGAGAGGTAGGCACATATTGTCCCCTTCCCATTAGTACCTGCGACGTGTATAGCTTTCCACGTCTGCGGTGTGTGCTTGAGCAGGCGGCTGATCCGACCCAAACCAAGCTCTATCATTTTTCAGGCAGCAAACAATCATTGCTCAGAACATCCAGTGATAAGGTGTCGGACCAGGGGTGTTCAACGAGTCATTCCGCAGAGTTGAATTCGTGGTGGTGTGTGCTCAATCGTCGCCGTGAGTCAGTTGGATTGTTGACTTGAGGTCTGCTTTGGCGTTGCTGCTTGTCAGCCTCCGATTATTTTCAGCCACCCCTGTGCAATTCATGTGGGGCCGCTAACGTATTCTCTCGTCTTCGCGCCGCCCGCAAAGATCAACAATCACCCATCAATTGTGATAATCAACACCATCGAATTTTCCATCGAAAAGCGCATCGCCGTTGTCGCCCAGACCTCATTTTCCTGTCTATCACGTTTTTTCCGCGTCTCCAGACACTTCAATCTGCCAAAATGGGCCTGCCGTAAGATTCAGCCTCCCTCGTTTCTCCTGCGCTGCTAACCAGATGCGAAGTTTGTTCATCACACCAGTCGAGCCTGAGATCGCATCCAAAGCAACTGAAAAAGTCGCATCGGGACCACGATCTGCAATTCGACGACAACGAACTGTCCGTGGACCTCATGCGCGCTTATCTGCTGAGACTCGCAGACGCCGTATGCTGGGGATGGTGTCCGATGCGCGTCCCGAAGACTTCGAAGTACAAATCCTGGAGCCTCCCTCTGGCGCTGGAGGCCCTCCGAATGAGAGCGAGATGCCTTCGGGTGCCCCTTTTCAGTCGCGTGCAATGCGCATATTTGAACAAGAGCGAATGAGGTTACGCGATACACTCAGTTTTGAACGCCAACATGCGCCGAACTCTGAAATGGACGGGCCGCTGATGCCTCCTGTCCCAGAGTCGAGAGATTATTCTGGAATCGAAGAACGCCAGAGAGAGATTCAACGACTTCGACAAGTCCGTCAGGATATTCGAAGAATGGCCAGAAGACAGCCAGCACCAACACCCCCTTACACCGATAGAGATATAGAGTATATGGCTCGAACAGGAACTGGAATCAACTCTCCGCGACCCTCTTCTTTGACGCCTGCCCTATCGCCTTCCCACCAACCTTCCACCGCATCTTCACCGCTCCGCCGATTGTCAGACGACTTCAGTTTTACTGCCCAGGCTCCCCCGTATGCAGCTGAGGTAAGCTATTTTCATCTCATATTTCTTGCTTCTTCGTCCGATCGTTGCAATTCACTTTTTGCCACAGCCGGCTTTCCTATGGAACATACCAAAGATGTGTAAGCCTCCTTTTCTGACCTTCCCACAGCAAGCTGGAAGACCAACACTATCCGAAAGGGTCCAAGCTCTGAGCCGAGCATCAAATAACTTCGAGAGATCTCGCCGACTTATTCGTCAAGCTCAATTGGATGGCCTTGGTGACCGAGACCGAAGTTTGAGCCCTGAAGGTGGTGCCACCTGGGACACACTTCTCACAAGCATCACTCCAGACCCACAACCCCCGAGCGCTGGTTCTTCATTTGCATCTGCATCTGCTTCCGCAGCAGCAGCATCGACCTCAAGCTCAGGACCAGCATCGGCTAGCACGTCTATGACAAGCCTGGGAATGACGGAAGATTCACCGACTCTTCGCGATTGTGATATATCAGATTCTGGTTCCAATACCGAGGAAGAGGAGGAGGAGGATATTTACGAGCTGCAGGACTTTGGCAGAGATAGAGGCCATCGATTCTGGAGGACATATGCGGAGGTTGTCACTTCGAGGGCTGATCGGGCTGCTCGACATGGAAACACAACGGACACGACGGAGCATTTGGGAGGTATGCATCGAATTATCTCCCGGCTTGCTGAGCGAGACGAAATCCCGGAGAGCTGGTGGGCTTCAGCGGGACTGAGCCGAAACCTTCGCCGTGAGCCTACCTCGTAGGGAAGGTTATTTTACAAAAGTCTATGGGACGACGGAACGATATGGAGGGATTGTGATACCACCTTGTATTTTAGCTTGTGTGTTTATAGGACTCAAAAGTTCGCAAGCTTATTTGTGGCTGGAGGGGAGCATCTTCTGGAGTTCTTTGGCGTTTGGAGGCATGGGGAGGGAGAGTTTACGATTTGCCCTTTATGAGGAGGTAGCCTTTCGAATGACAACGTTGCCCACGATCATACTGAATAACCTCATCACTTCTTGCCCTTTTCCTCGCATTGTAATCGAGATGGCGTCGAAAATCTGCACATGTCTCCACTCTCTCGAGCCAGGGTCTTGTCAGGCCGTCACTTCTGTCTAATAGCTGCCCTCCAAACAAGACATTCTCGTAAAGGCTAGCTTTCATGATTGGCTGCAGGAGCAGCACCAATTGACCTTCCAAAAACAAAAAATGTGAAACAAACAGATCGAGGGACGAGCGTCAGCGAATCCAATAAAGCAAGCCCGATTATATGTCGCGCCTCAGCCTTATTGCATGCAGGTCGCGAATCCCAGTCGGAAGTCCACGCTTGTTTGTCATTTTAGCATTGCCAATTTCTTGTTGCGGCCGAACGCCTTTCCTTTTCTAGGGAACATTGATACCGAGAGCTTCAGCAGAGAATGCAGCATTCGAGCTGCAATATCGGGTTTCCAACGACAGTGGTGCAATAAGTTGCTAATTCTACATACACCTCGTGTGCTCAGGATCTGCCTATTTGCACGACCTTGGTCATAGTCCATTTGCCCGCGATACCACGACGTGAAACGAGGGCCTGGTCCACGAACGCGAGCATTTATGGGTGGGATGAAATCCTTTATCTGCCAGAGCTTTCGACCTCCTCTCTCGACTCTCTAAAACCCACTCCTGGGTCTCGAAATACCGGCGATGGTCTCCCACCATTCCTCGTCTTCGGACCGCCATGCGAATGGCAGATCAGGGGCAGGGAATGGGCACGGCAGGACCGAGAGCACACCAGGAACGCCGAGAAAGGAACGGTCAGCGGGGAAGGAAAAGGCGGTGCAGGATCCGGGACTGAAGGACTATGTATGGCCCAGTACAAAAAGCGGGGGGACAAGATGGCTTACATATGGCACAGCGTCTAGGAGAATGCTTGGGGAGGGGAGCTTTCGGATCAGTTTACAAGGCCTTCAATTGGGGTACCGGGGAAGCTGTTGCTATTAAACAAATCAAGCTTGGGGACCTCCCGAGGAGTGAGCTTCGGATGATTGAGGTATGGAGAACTCGAAATGGGCAGGGAATAGAACTGACTTGGAACAACTAGGCCGAAATCGACCTGCTGAAGAACCTCAACGTAAGTCAACAAAGCTCTGAAGGTGTACTATGACCTATTAAATTTGAGTAGCATGAGAATATTGTCAAGTATCTAGGTTTCGTCAAGTCTCCAGATTGCTTGAATATCATATTGGAGTAAGCTCCTACCCTGACCCATTTCCAAAATCCTGCTTACAAGCCCTAGGCTCTGCGAGAACGGGTCCCTACATTCGATATGCAAGACATATGGCAAATTTCCGGAAAACCTGGTGGGAGTTTACATGGGCCAAGTTCTTCATGGACTACAATACCTCCATGACCAAGGTGTCATCCATCGGGATATTAAAGGAGCTAACATCCTCACCACAAAGAATGGGAAGGTCAAACTTGCAGACTTTGGAGTGTCCACAAGTACGCTGGCTGGGGCTGATAAAGAAGCACAAGTGGTGGGGACTCCGTACTGGATGGCTCCTGAGATTATTCAACTCTCTGGAGCAACTCCTGCATCTGATATCTGGAGTTTGGGCTGTACGGTCATAGAACTTCTGGAAGGAAAGCCTCCATACCACCACTTGGCAGCCATGCCAGCTCTATTTGCTATAGTCAACGACGACCATCCCCCACTGCCTGAAGGAGTGTCACCTGTACGTCATTTTCGTCTCTGACATATTGATCGTTCACTCACTATCCTGCAGGCTGCCCGCGATTTTCTTATGCAATGCTTTCAGAAAGATCCCAACTTAAGAGTCTCTGCAAAGAAGCTCCTAAGACACGCTTGGATTGTAGGATCTCGTCGCACTGACGCTCCAGTAGCTAAACCTCCTGCCAATTTTAGTGAGGCAGTTGAGGAGGTTAAGCAATGGAATGAAGCTTTGAAGTCACCTCCTGGATCGTTCCGAGCTTCAACAAGATCAAATGTCATCAGCCCTGGGCCACAAAAGAGAGACCCCCCTTTGCGAAACATTCATAATGATCAGCAAGGTCCTGCTTTGATCACACCTGCAAAAGGTCCTCTTTCTTTAGCAAAACCAAAACCAACAGAAGCATTTCGATCCCCAGAAAGCATAGGTATGTAGAGCATACTTACTCCATACAAGAGTTCACATTTGATTTTCTTTCTTAGGAGATGACAACTGGGATAACGACTTCCTTTCTTCAATATCACCGAGTGCCCTTCATCTACCTCAGTTCAAGCCCCATGATAATTTTGCAGGCATGTTATCCTCCGAGAGGCTGAAGGCATTTGCCTCATTTGACGTACCCAACGATGAGAGCGACAATTGGGACAACAACTTTGAGGGTGACCTCGTCACAATCAAAGGGCCTCACAAGTCGGTGGAGGTCGACAGCCATGAGCTCGAAACGATTCGCCCCTACAGAATCAAACCGACAATAGTCACTCAGGACATCAAACCTGCAACCGAGACGAAATCCACATCCAGAAAACCTTCCAGATCTGAGCCGCCACGGCCAAAATCTCCAGTCAAAGCTCAAGTCGGGCAAAAGTTTGTCCTGCCTGCAAGACCCGCAGCCATGTACCGCGAGCAGTCCGTGGAGGATTATTCAGACCTGTTTGTGGACACCGAAAGTGTGTTTGACAGAAGGCTTGATCTTATCAAGGTAAGTTTTGTGTGAAGGTGGCGCGTAGTTGTCATGTTCTAACGTCACACCTTAGGATGATGCCCTATCACCAAAATTATTCCATCCCTCGGATCTCACCAGCCTACCACGCTCTGCTCAATCCCCTCTCGCCAGTGCCAACGGGAGTACTCGAAGAAAACCAATGCCTCGGGCAGAAGATCAATCCATGCGTCGAACTCGATCTTCTGTCGAAATTCAGCGTTACGCTGAAGATGAGGACGACGAGGACTTCTCGGACATCTTTGGTAAAGAGGATGCCATAACCGAGAAGGACGAGAGCGATCGGGGCTCAGAGGACGGCATGGGAGCTCTGATGTTGCACTCGAAACTTTCGAATAACTCCTGGCTCGGCGATGAGGATGATGAAGATGACCCCTTCGCCTCACTAGAACAAGGTTTCGATGAGATGGACTTACAGGCCAACATCGCCAGGGACAAACATGCTCGATTATGTACTATGGTCGAGGGCTTGGTGAGCTCGTTGAAAGTCACTGAAGAGCATGAGACGATTGCAAAGGTCTCTGAACAGATGGTGAGTTTCTACAGACAACTCCACATGTGAAGCCTAACGCTAACACTACAAAGCTCAATGTCCTCTACGAGTCAGAAGACGCAAAAGCTCTCATTATCAGCGCTCATGGGATGCTTCCAATACTGGAAATTCTCGAACCCTGCACTGTAAAAAGCCGCCAGGACATGATTCTGTGGTTGCTGAAAGTGGTGAATACAGTAAGTGACGTGAATGCATTCTATTAATAGAGCTCAGGCTAACCCTTATCAGATTATATTGAACGATGTCGAGATTCAAGAAAATCTTTGCTTCGTCGGCGGCATTCCAATTATTACCAAGTTTGCTGCGAGGCAGTACTCAAATGAGATTCGACTAGAAGCAGCTGCGTTTGTACGGCAGATGTATCAAACTTCAACGCTGACACTTCAAATGTTTGTCAGTGCCGGTGGACTTAACGTCCTCGTTGAGTTTCTGGACGAAGATTATGATGAGGCAAGAGACTTGGTGCTGATTGGTGTCAATGGGATCTGGAATGTGTTTGAGCTTCAGGTACGTTGGAAGAGTGATTTGTGGTTGAATTTTCCTAACAGTGGAATAGGGACCGACGCCGAAGAATGACTTCTGCCGCATCTTCTCGAGAAGCAAGATTTTGTCTCCCCTTGCACTTGTCTTGGACCGTGTCCTTGCTGAAGAAGACGAACTTGCCGAATTAATCGAAGGGCGGATTGTCAACATCTTCTATCTCTTCTCACAGGCAGAGAATTACGTCAAAGAAGTTGTGGCCGATCGAGTGGTGTTAAAACGTAGGTGATACTTCACCGGTCAGATCTACATAACTAACCTCTTCCAGGTGTTCTTAAGGATCTTCGACGGATGACGCCTACTCACCAAGTCACAATGCTGAAGTTCATCAAGAATCTCTCGATGCTTTCGACAACACTGGATAGTCTACACGCAGCAAATGCCATCGAGCTCTTGATTGATCTGCTGAGCTCGAGCATGAAAAAAGCAGCACCTCACTTCCGTGAGATCTCGAACCAAGTCTTAAATATCATGTACAATTTATGTCGGCTCAGTAAGGACCGACAGGAGGATGCCGCCGTCAACGGCATCATTCCGCTACTCCAAAAAATCATGAAGACGAAGAGACCTCCGAAGGAGTTTGCACTTCCCATATTATGCGACATGGCACATTCTGGGAAGGTGGTAAGAAAATATTTGTGGCAAAACAAAGGGTTGCAGTTCTACGTCTCGCTACTGGAAGATCAATATTGGCAGGTCACGGCCCTGGATGCCATCTTCATTTGGTGAGTTTCACGATGCTCCATTGGGAATGATTTACTGACTCCATCGCAGGCTTCAGGAGGAGACCGCCAAAGTTGAGAAATGCTTACTGGAAGGTAACTTTACGGAAGCAATCGTTCAATGTTTCAACGCACCCCGAGCAAGTGCCTTTGATTACAACCTCCTCGAGCCGTTGCAAAAGCTTCTACGATTGAGCTCACCAGTTGCGGCCTCTCTCGCTCGACCCGATATGTTCTCTGGCATACTTCAGAAGCTCAATCATAAGAAAGCCGTGGGACGACTCAATCTTCTACGTATCGTCCGTAGCATATGCGATCCAAGCGATGACTCGGAGATCAAAGAGCATCCTCTCTTTGAAGCTATACAACGGCTCGCCGAGACTGACAGCGCAGTCTTAGTGAGAAATATGGCAAGCGAATTGGTAAAATCGAATCTAGACAAAGAATCAGAAAGTGGGAGTGGTGGACGGCCACGAGTTGGCACAGGCAGACGGACGAGCTCTTATACGCCTCCTTCCTTACACCACAGCGTCTCGACCCCCATTACGCCCACACACGTAAGCCGAGTTTCACAATCGTCAACTTTCATAGACGGAAGCGTCACACCAAGACGAATACACGCCGCTCCAAATGGCAACGACATCCTCTACCGACCTCGAAGCCGAGACGGAGGCCAACCAATTGTAGCACGAAAAACAAGCGCGGAACTCTCGAACAGTGCGTCACTTAGCAAGAGCAGATTACCTCGAACCTCAATGCTCTCGAAATCCAGGTCTTCGATGGCCGCCCCGTCAATACGAGACGAACCCACATCCAGCCGGAAAGAAAATGGAGCCAGGTTAAGAGAGCAGTCGCGGTCAACTGCTTCTCCAGCCATGGGAGGCACGGCTCCTCAACTGAACTCGAAACGGAGAACGAGGCAGCCAAGTGGAGATATCAAATGGTCGTGAGGAATGAGTTATGAGAGATGAGAAGAGATGATGGAAATGAAGGAAGAAGCATGGAGGGATGGGAAGCGTTTCTTACCTTGTCGTTAGCATAGGCATGCATTGGGTGGCGTCAAAAGTGTCTGTTGAACTGCATAGCTTGCGGGATGGGTATATTGAATCAGAGAGGTTAGGTCTAGAGAGTACGCATACAATGCAGAGTATTCATGCATAGATGAAATTAGCTCTCGATAGTGAGCTAATACCTTATCCCATGCATTCAGCCCGATGGAGTTGACAAGCCATCCTCCTATCGAAGGGGCAAAATCATAGAAGGAAAGGGCAACAACGTTCAACTCATCCCCAGAGAATAGAACAAGTATTCTGTGTCTCTCCTTACGCACGTCAAAGTCGTAAAGCATCCCATTCTAGCTTGTCCCCACCTCCGAAAAACTCGCTTAAGTTCTACAAGCACTTTAACCAAAGAAACCGGTATCCTCAAAATACTTTCAGACCATCAGACCACACCAGTAAAGCTCTGCTACCCAGTCCGCAGTGTGTACTGATGTTCGACTTGAGATGGAGAATGCCACTGAAAATTCTGTTCGTCCTGCTCCCTCGCTTCCCACCTCCATCAAAAATGCCACATTGAAAAGAAGATATCGGGGGAAAGGTAGGAACAAAAAGCAAAACCATTGCGCCCTAGCCTCCTCAAAGATAGGAGCCAGCTGGTAGTGGAGGTGAAATCAGACGAACTGAGGGTTTTTCTTTTTCTTTTCATAAATCAAAGTTTTAGTCTCATTGCGGGTAACCTTTGCAATCTAACCCGCCGCCGGGGCACGGTAGACCGGAGGGTAACTCCTCCGAGTTTTCCGTTAGCTTAACGTTGATTGCGGACGAGGGGAGTTTTCCAGTTAATTTATGGAGACGGCTTGTTTCAGTAGATAAGGTTGATTCCTCAAGAGGCGATATTCGAGGGGCCGAGGGGCCCAGGAGTGAGCCCCTTTTTTAAGCGAGAGCGTGAGCTCCATGACACAACAAAGAGAATTGAGGGCACCTGGTGATATTTCGAACACAGGAGGGAACGCGAAAATGACCTTTTGATTGAAAATGAAGTCTATGATTCTTTCTATGTCTGCTATCTACATCATCTATACACATATATACATCTACCCAACCACATCTTGCCAGCCTCTCTTAACTGCCAGCCAAAACTCAAAGGCCTCCAGCTTAACCTCGACCCTCACGTACCCCAACCACGCCCCAAGTAAGCCCACCAAATTTCTCGGCCACAGCAAGCTTCCCCTCTTCCGCAACTCCTCAACCTGCTCCTCAAACACCGTCCGTGAGCAATACCTCGCTAATATCAAAAATGTCCTCACAGGACCCTGCCGAGTCTGTAAATTCTCATCCAAGCTCCGCGTCAAATCATTTGTCTTCAAAATAAGAAGAATAATTCTCGGAACCTGACCTAGCAATTGAACTAGCTGCTGCAACATCCCTTCTCCCAGGGCTGTATTGATATTCTTCTTCTCTTCCGAGGATCTTGCCTGAGCGACGTTCTTCTTCAGAACGCTGTAGTCGCGACCCGTGATAGCTGAGGCGAATAGGGGGAATTGCTCGTCATTGACGCCGGCTACTTCTTTGGCGTACTTGCGCATTCGCTCCTCGTCGGCGTCGATGACTGCTAGCCAGAGCTTGGCATATGAACGACGGAGATCGATGGGTATGTCGCGGTAGAGGCCGTGGTCGTAGAGGATTACGTCGAAGTTGCAACCTCGTCTGTTGGGGTTCTTACGGATGGCTATGTTCCCGCCGTGGGGATCGCAATGTAGTGGGGCGTCGGTGCCGAAGATCATTTCGTTGAAGATTCGAGCGAGTGCTGCTGAGACTTCGTCCCTGTCTATGCCGTTTGCGTCAAGGAATTCGAGGTCGTCTGGTCGGTGGCCAGATACGTTTTCCATGACTAGGATCCGCTTCTTTGCCCAGATGACATCTGGAACTACAAGAGGTAGTTCCGGTATATGTGAAAAGTATTCCTTGGCTCGTATAGCGTTTTGCCCTTCTAAAGCAAAATCCAATTCTTGCGGTAAAGAGTACTCCATCTCAGAAGATAGCCATTCCAGGTCATATTCGGGAAAGAATCTCTTTAATGTTGAGAAGGTGAAGCTTGTCAAAGCCAAATCCAGCCCGGCCCATTCAGCTAAAGTAGGGTGTTGGACTTTGACGGCTACCTTCTGCCCGGTCTCTTTTACAGTTGCCAGATGTACTTGTGCAAGTGAGGCAGCACCTATCGGCTGATGTTCGAACTCCGAGAAGTAATCTGATAATTGTTCCCCTGTATCTTGCTCGAACATAGCTTCTATAGATTCGAATGACGAGACGGGACATTTGTCTTGGAGGGGTATGAAAGTCGTAGTCCATTCGAGGGGAAGGAGGTAATTCATGGCGCTCTGGTCTCCAATTAGCAATTATCAATAACCTCAGGAACATGCCACTTACCAGATGCTGTCCCAGCTTTATGAAAATACTACCATTCTTCTCCAGCACTTTGAGTGTCCGATTCGCACACCTCTGGTGACATGCCTTCAAGGAGACATTCCTCTCCTCCTCGTCCTTGGTCTTCTCGTTTTGATTCAGAGTAACTCGATAACTATCCTTTTATCAGCGTTGCCTCTCTGCCAAGTCTGTCATAACTCACTCATTTATACAAACAGCCAACGTACTAACCACCCTCCCGGTCCTCTCGACAGCCTCATAAGCATGCCTCACATCATCCGTAAACGCCACGGCAGTGACACCCAACGCACCTCCCGCGGTCGCAACAATAACCCTACCTCTCCTCTTCGACTTCGCAGACTTGGCACTCCCATTTCCGTATGCATTACTCCTTCTCGCATATCCCCTCAGTTGGTCCCCTATCCTACTGCCTCGCGATTGCAGCAGACATTGTCTACAAGTCCACACACCTCTCGTCGAAGCCACCCTTGGAATAGACCTTGCAAACGCACTTGCCATTGCGAAATTGAAACCCTTCATTCTCCTAACTTGACACCTCTGTCCCTTATTATAAAATCATTGTGTAATCGGCTCTCGAAACAGGCCGGTAGGAGAGAATTCGCGATGTGGTTTGATCCGAAAAAGTGTTGAACCAGCCTCGGGGCAAAAAAAGTGGCAGATCCCGATGACATCGCGGTTCGTCCCATCCCAGTACATCGCATGACTTCGAGGCTTGCTCCTCACATTCAGCCTCCTCTCTTCAAGCCCAAGCATGTAACTTCCACTTCTCACAATGCCGCCGAAATTCAATCTCAATGCAAAAGTAACTCTTCCTTCCCTTCAATTTCAGTTTCCAAATAAGCTAATTGAGATATTAGACGGTAACGGCGCCTCTGGCAGCCTTCACAATGGCCACCCTCCTCTTCGTCTACTCCCGCACCTCAATCCAAGCCGCGAAGCGCAATGCACAGAAGCACAGAGAAGCAGATGGCGGGCAGATTAACTGTAGGTGTTGGGGCAGAAACCTCTTCCTATTTGCGACTGTTTCATGAGACTTTCTTAAGTCAATGCCCTCTCCCGAAACAATCCTAATCGAGCAATTGCTGACTCCCCCGTTACCTAGGGCATAATGAGAGTTTGAGACGGCATGGGAAGTTGGAGAGCCCGGTTGAGGAGGGAACGGTGGGACAGTTGGTCGGGACGTTGCAGGAGGGCCGGGATAGGAGGGGACGAGTGGTGGAGGGGGAGAAGGGGGAGGTTGTGGAGACGGAGGCAGAGAGGAGGGTTCGGGAACGAGCTTCGAGAGGGAAGGGCTGATGTAGGTTGAGGAGGGGAGGATCAAGTTGCATTGGGCAGAGTCTGTGACTATGAAGTAACCATGGGAAACTTCCAAGGGTGTTCCTACAAGGTGTGCCAGCCCGGAACATTAAGAGTAGGATTTAAATCTGAGCATCCTAGCTCGACCAGGTGTGGAAAGTTCGTACGGACTTTCCTTCCAACTAGGGAACACTCCGCGAACACTTGTTTGGGGAGATTGTTGTCTAGTGTAGAGCACTGAGGTGAGACTTGAAAGAATCCAGAAGAAATGGAGAGAATGGTGTGTAGGGCTTTCGAATGTTCCTAGTTGGATTGGACAATGAGGGAGTTGAACTGTCCTTCCTCAGATCTTCTCCCTCCTCAGGACAATTCTCCATAAGTCATTTACAAAGATCGATTATTTCCTAAGGTGATCTCATTGACCATACCTTTCAGGCCTTTTACCTGTGCGTCGACTCCGTCGAAGCTCTCTCCTACTAGCCGAGACTTGTCTTGTGACGATTGGACTACGCTGCCCTGGAGCTGGAGCTGGAGCTGCTATTACAGTCTGTTGACTTTCTACGAGCTGATTATTATCCCTCTCCAGTCTCCTCGTCTCTTGTCTATCAACATAGTCCAAGAAACTGACTCTATTCGCTCTCCTCGGCAATAATACCCGCGGCCAAAACTCCCTACACAAATCAGCCATCACACTCCTCTCATACACTCATTAAAACTAGCACTACCAGGAAGAAAATAACTCACCTGAAAGCCGCACACCAAGCCTGCTCCTGATGGGCCTGTCTCCCCACCGGATCAGCAAGAAACGTCACCCTCCCAATCACCGCCCTCCTAGCTTCCCCATGAATGCGATGCCTCAACCAAGCCCTCACAGTCGCGACCCCAATCCTTGCCGCTTCACACCTCGGCCACCCCATCAACCCAGTACCAATACACGGAAATGCAATACTCTTCAGCCCCAAACTGAACGCCTCTTCCATACACCGTCGATAGCAATCCGCCAACTGCTGTTTCAGCAACGGCATCACACATCTCCTTCTCGATTCAAAATCAGGCCCGTTTACGTGGATAATATACCAACAATTCTGGGCCTCAAAACTCGAAGTCGCAAGAGCGTCACCGACGGGGAGCCCGAAATGGTAGTTGTAGTGCAGGTGGTTCCTGAGTTCCGAGCCTGCGGCGTGGATGATTTGGTGCTCGGCGCCGCGGACGTTGGCCGTGTTGATAGTCATGAACTTGTCAGTGGCGTTTACTATTGCTTCGGCGGGGAAGCTGGACATTATTGCGCGGCGGATCTCAAGACGGCCGTCTGGGGACCGGTGGATGAGGGAGCCGGACTCGCCTATTAAGGGGGTTCCTGGGGATATCATGTTGAGCGTGCTTGATGCCCTCTTTTCTGATTTCGAGGAATGAATTATTGCAAGTAGCTGAACGTAGTTGGACGATTGAGCGAGAATTTAACAGAGTTGAACTAAAGTCGTTGTAATTCTTTCATATTCTGGAAAGGAAGACAAAGGCTAATTGCTAAATACAAAATGCCGGGTTTGGCTATGGCACATTCATAGCTATTACTCCTTTGTGCTCCTTGACCTGTCATGGCTCAAACTAAGAGGGCTTTCTTGATTGTTCCACTAGGACTCGACCAATCGAAATAAGTAAGGGGCAGGCATGACTTGCTCGGAGAGCAGAAGTTTGTAAAGCTTGTGATTAATCTCTCCATATCCTACATTCTATATTATACCATGCCTCTGTCTAACGGCACTGCGTGACACCTCCCTCATTCCTAATCATCTTTGTAACCGCCTGCACCAAGCTGATACCCATAACCACGAATCCAAACACCACGCAACCAACCGCAGGCGCCGTCTTCCAACTCCTCGTACTAAGCTTTATGTAACACAAAGGGGGTAAAATGTAAGCCAAAGCGCACGCACTTGTTGCGCCGATCAATTCAAACACGACTCCGAGATCACAGGTGATGAGACTAAGTAGCATCGAACTTATCACTAAGGAGGAGGAAAATATGAGGTGCAGGTTCATGTTGAAAGGTTCGCCGGGGAACCAGTAGTTGAACATAACTTCTCGGCAGACGAAAGCTTCGAGAGGGAGGGTGGTGAGCATGTTGAGGCCGAAACAAAGCCGGGCGATGTTGACCATTATGTTGTCTGATGGGAAGTTGTTGAGGACGTTTCCTTCAGTGAGGGAACCGAAGGTTAGGAAGCCAGCTAGAGCCATGAGAAGGCAAGCCACCATGGAGATGCCGGTACTGTAATGAGTGACCTTGGCAAATCGATCAATGGTTGGAGTTTTGAGGGAGCCGTAAATGAGGAGGGAATTATGATGGCAAACAAATGCTATTTACGATTAGTTTTGATTACTTGGGAAGACTGAGGGCAACTGACCGAATGATATAACACCAATAGCTTGGAATACCCCATTATTGATCGTCATAAGAGGTAAATCAAAAGTGCCTCTTGATTCTTTGGGAACAAAAAAGCCTTGTGTGACAACCGTAAATAAAATGACCACCATGCTGATCAACGCCAGAGTGCTTGCTTTTGCCAACTATTCTCGTTAGCCCCGCCTCATAAATCGGACCGAAGGTTTCCTGCCTTGGCAATATCCCGATACAAGCTCAGAGGATAGCTGATCCCCAGTATAAAAATCACAATAACAGCCCGTCTATTAGTCAAAAGACTCAACACCGGTATATCCCCCAACCCCGGAAACACCGCCGCCAAAACATGCGGAATGGAATCGCCCACAATGATGCCAAACGCTACCATTCCGCCAAATGCGAATGCCCATTGAGCAATAGAGATAGCAATTAAGCCCGGCTTCCCAAAGCAATGCTCGACAGTCCCTTGAAAGCTGTTACTCCCGCTCAACTTGCTATTTATCACAATCAGGCGTATCGTCCAGTCCACAGTGATTGTAAGCACAATGAGCAGTATAATTCCCGTCAAAAGTCCAGCTTGCCGAAACGCGTAAGGCTGGCCAATGATCCCTGCCCCGATGATTGAATTCGCCATGTTCATGAAGGCTGAGCGCAAGCCAGACTTCGGACGCAGACGCTCCCGTTCTGCCCATTCATGCACATCATCATCCCCCCAAGGACTCGCTGCTAGGGTGATAGAAGGAGCTTCGATGTCTGTGAGGAGGGGCAGTGAGGCTTGAGGGCGGGGGTCTCGGCGCCCCGAGAGAGGGGAATCGACGTAGGGAGGAGGGGCGTCATTGTCTTCGTGGTCGGTATCAATAGCAGGAGGGAGGTCAAATCGGACTCGATTGGGAGTTCGTGGTGTTCGAGGGGTTTGGGGAGGTGACTCGCGGCCGGGGTGAACAACTATGTCTTCCTCGTCGTCTGTGGAATTCCTTGAGAGGAGGCCACGATCTTCTTCGTTTGGCAGATCGTCCGCAAGCTGGCCATCCCTGCGGATGTCGTTCGTTTTGGCCTTGGCCATGCTGCTATCGTGGAAGCATTGTGCTGTCAAGCAGATGTAGGAAGTGAAGCTTGGTGATGTGGTCTCTCCAACCAAGTAACGCCGTAGGACCCTTGCTCGCTTAAGCGGGGCTGAAATCCGAACTCCTGCCTGAAACAAAACGTTTTGTCAATGTCAGAATCATTTCAAGAAATGGTTTAGATTCATTTGTCTAAGTGGCATTAAAAGAAATAAGTCGAAACTTCTTAGTACTCAGCAGGCAGCATCTCATTCCTTCGTATGTATGTTCCGGCAGGGTCTCTCAGGGGTCCGTCAGGGGTTTCAATGTTCACAAGGATTTCAAGAACAGCTTTTGAATACTATATATTGGTCCATTATTTTTACGTGACCTCTAGAATGTACAAGTCCTTCATTTCCTTCATGCTTTGTGGGTTCCCTGCTATTAGGCATAACCGACCACCATGATGGGTGGTCGGTGACGCATATAAAAGAAATGCAGGCAATGCTATCGCTAATCATTACAGGTGGGGAGCTCCGAGGGGATGCTCATGCGAATATTGTACACAAGACAATATAAGTATTAGGATCAGTATGGGTATCTTAAAGAGCGGCCGTGGCGGTGATGCACGGCAAAGTTTCCAAGGTGGGAAGGTGACGAATCGGAAGAGGCTGACTAGAAGAGTGCGAAGGCGAGAGCCGGTAAGGCTAAGCCGAAGAGATTGGAGTTGTAACGTGCATGCCCGACATTTTTTGATGGAGTTGCTGATGGACTGGCGAATGTTTCAGCAGCGGCTGTTCCAGAGCTCCCAGAAGTCTGGTGTCCGCCCAGGCCGGGTGTAGTGGGTGTAGTTGTAGTGGAAGCCAGTGATGAACCAGCGGCTAAGGTCGCCTGAGATGTAGAATCTGTTCAGACTGTTAGTCGACTTTCAAGAGGGGTGGAGGCAAGCAATCCAAGATTCATATTTGATAAGCGAGAAAAAATAAACATACCCGGAACAGAAGGAGAAGTACCACTAGCAGAAGTTGATGCTAGGGAAACTGCAGCAACCGCAGCTGCAAGACCTGCTTGATTGTTAGCCCATATTCTCTTCAACAAGCCTATCCACTCTGTTCGTACCGACTCTGGTTTTGTCCACATCAAACACGGCATACACGTTCTTGAGGAAAGTATCTCCTAACAACCACGAGTCTGCAACAATTGTGCGCCCAAAGACATTACCAGTACAAACACCGTTCACGCTAGCACTAATCCAGTCTTTAGGAGACACGGAATAGGTGGTTGTGCCAAACGTGAATGTCAAAGCCGTTGTGGTGTCGCATGGAACCGAGTATGTGACGGTGGCACCAGTTGATAGGATCTTTGCTCCTGTCACGACGGCATAGAACGCCGCGGCCTGGTCTGGAGGAGCGAAAATGAAGGATGTTCCTGTGTCAATGTACGCCAATTTGCCAGTGACGCCAGCTTGGTTACTTCCAAAGCCAACGTTTGCCATAGGGATGGCCCAGTCGCCTGCGCTATTTGCGGACACAGGCAGGTAGTTCAGACTTCCGGTAAATTTGGAACTGTCAACAGCGCCGAAATTGATCTCTCCGGTGTTGTCGCCATCCGAAGCTCTGTTGAGACTGATGCCAAAAATGTTCGATTTGACGGCCTTGGATGCAACGAGAGTATCAACAAAGCTAGGTGTAGATCCCTTCTGTAACGAGAGACCCAGAATGCCATCGATTGGGAAGTACTTGAAATCGTCGCTGGTGTTGTTCGCAATTCCGAATGTCATTTGAAACTTCATGCCTGCAATGGAGACACTATCCGACGCCAAGGTTCCGCTCACACTTCCCGCGCCATAAGCGACGGAGAAGGGATCCGCGGTTGTCTGGAAGGTTTTTGAGTCTGCAGCTCCAAATGAGTCATGGGATTTGCAAGCATCAGAGCCGCAAGAAGGACCCATCACCCATGTTGTACTCGCTCCGGTGTCTAGTAGCATGTAGAGCGGAGTATTTGCCGATCCAAATTGTACCTGGGTGAAGTAGGAGAAGTCTGTACCATCCTGATCTATGCCTGCACTGTTTGTCTGTGTTGGATTTGCGGCTGTCTGGACGGGATATGTGTTGGTCCCTCGCTTCTCAACACTGTCTCGCGCAGAACCTCGGACTTGGCTTGGGTGATTGTACTTGCGGATCAGCTTGTTGACAGTACGGCGAACCTGTTGGTCTCGGGAGACTTCGGTCTGCACGAGTTGGTCAGCCAAAATCTCCTGTGGGAAGTGAGGAAGAAGTACCTTCGGCCACCGCTGAGAGATCTTCAACGACGCGATGCCAGAATCCTCATCCTTCATGTCCCTGGGAGAATTGGGTTGGTTTACACATCGATCATCTTCCGGGCACATATAGGGAGGAAAATAAGGGAAGAAGGCATTGGCGGAAGAAACCAGTGTGATGACTGCAATAAGTGTGTGGATGAGACGCATCGTGCTGGCGCCAGTCAAGAATCCAAGCGGAGGGTCAGATCATGAAGACGTATCCAGGAAAAGGTATATCTTTAGGCTCTGAAAAAGTTTGCTGATACAAGGAATCAAGTTTGCGAGGCGTTTGGTGGGAGTTGGAATGATGTCGTGAACAAAGCTCTTCCACACAAGGCTGCCTCGCACTTCAATGCACTGGTTGGTTGAATTCGCGGAGGAAAACAGCTCGAAAACCAGGAACAATGAAAATTATTATTTCGAGATCCGGACCGCACAGTGAAATACAAATTGATCCCTTCGAATTAGGCCAGGAAGCTCTATAAGACGGAGGCGATGCTATAAGACGCTGGGGCGAGTACCAGACTCTTGATAGTTTTTCGTATTAGGATTATATTCGAGAGAACATGGGGATAGTTGGTGTTACAAGCAAGTCGAAGACAGTTAAGCCGTCGACGTTGCTCAATTAATATGGATTCGCAGTGTGGGTGAGGCAACGGATTGGATTCCCAGAGTCGACCCGGAGATGGAAAATGCAAATTAAAACAACGCAGCACGAACAACCCAATTCTACTTTGTTGTCAAAGGAAAAGGCCACCACGAGAGGGAGGAGGGAGGAGAGGACGGAGGCGGAGGAGGATGAGGAAGGAAAGAAAGCAGGAGGAGCAGGAGGAGGAGGATCGTGGTTTTCCCCAGAGCAGAGACTCCCCCTCGGTGGTGGTTTGGCGTCGGGATGGGATGGGCAGGTGCTGCAGTGATCATCCACACGCTTGGTCGTTTCTGGCAGCTTTGTCCTATCAGCGTGCGACGAGCATGCAGGGGCCGCAGCCTGCATGTCACTCTCCATCTTGGCTCCCTACCGCCACCGACGCCTCGAGAAGCTTTAACCTCTTTTTCCCTTGTTTCCAACCCCATTGAGACCAGTGCAGGCGCCGCCATTCCACAACGACGATAGTCAGGAGTTGCCTTAGTCAGCAGGAAAAGGCCGCAAGTTCGCAACAGCACGGTCCATTGGCCATTGGCTGTGGCTGCAGCCGCCAAGGCTGATGTCGAGCCGTCGACTCCACATCCAATCCCGGATGGCGCGGTGGCTGCGGCGCCCAATCATGACTGGCGAATCGAACATGGACATCAAAGGACATCAAAGGGTGAAATTGGAATAGCTGGTCCGTGGAGCGCCACTGCTTCTTAGTGCCGCCCCTTCCAAGACCTCTTCATGATCCCCAGGGAAACGTTGCCCTCTCCCACGCAAAAATAGAAAGGTTCCCACGCCGTTGTCTTCATCTGTGCACAAGGGCGGAAATGGCGTTTGTCCTTGAATTCATGGCGGCACTTGAAACCGCCTCGTCCACGGTCTTGTGATGAGAGAGCCCGTGTAACCTGACAGAACTTTCTGCGATGCCCGCTGGGATCTCGTATCCCTGACACGAAGTGACGGTGAGCAGTGAACACCCTGGGGGAAGCAACTGGGATGCTGATTGCCCGCATTTACAGCACAGAATGCGTCTCCGTGGCGCCCTTGAACCGAGGGTATTTGTGCAGAACTGCTGCTGTTTGTTTCACAGGGGTGCTTGCCCAGGAGAAAACTTCCAGAGCATTGACCTTGGTGTTACCCCGGAAAAAGTTGAGATGGAGATTTGTGCATTGACATGCAAATCTCGGGGTGCGCTATTGAAAATCGAAAGGAGCAAGAATACTCGATCCAAACCTCTTGTTCTTGGAAATCGCATGAGACTGGGACGAGGTCATCAATGGTGTCTCTTCTTCTTCTATTGCAATAAGTTTCCCTTCGTGATCGACGATTCGAATCAGCGTTTCAGCCATTCGAATTGTGGTACCTAGTGGCGCATGTGAAAGGAAAGTTCCCGGCTCAATGAAATCATCCCCTAATTTTATCACGTGGAAGTAGCTTCGAGGATCGAGATCTAAGGCCTAGGAAGCATGGAGCTAGGTTCGGAGGGCTAAAAGCTGTTCGTGGTGGAGACAATGCTGCACTCCCAATTTTCCTTGCACTTGTAGCCGTTGCGAGAGGATTCGAAGTTAGGAGATCTTGGCATCGAAGAATTTACAAACGACGAAACCCGTGGAGCTAGAAACCAGGAATTTGGGATCCTTGTCTCAATCTCGAAAATTCAAGGAAAATCGGTGAAGTTCTCGACTCTCCCCCCCCCCAATGAAATTAAAAGTCTCCAAAATCTGGAGGTGCGTTCCGTATTTCAAAAATTCCCGCATTTCAGAGAACCTTCACATTCTTAGGGATCGATGATCGATCACTAGAGATATGGACCTTTTCGGGCAGCGGCAAATGAAGCCAATCACGGTTATATGCAAGAGCCAATTCTATCTTCTTTTTTCCGTCGATTTGTGCTCTCTCGTTCCTCGTTTGGAAATCTCACCTCAGCCAATATTTACAACCATCGCTGACAGAACATATGAACTAGTCCGAGATCCCAAGATTGAGGTAAATGTTTCTAACAATGGTGGTAGAGATGTGCAGAGTGGAAGACACTATCTACGACACCTACCCACATCCTACTCATGACCTATACTTTTCACAGAAAACGGCAATTTCAGAATGAAGAGGGAACCCGGCCTCGAGAACTACTCATCTCACGGTCTCATTCCGACACTCGTCGGCTTTCAATGAGTCGTCTACCTTCGCGAGGAGTGAACTCATCTCCACAATGAGCAAACGTTAGGATCCCATTCTTCGATTCCGCTTAAGTTCTAGGGCCCAGTTCAAGAACAGCTTTACCAATTCAGTGGTTGCAACGCTAGCAGGGCGATTGCGAAAACCATTATTCAATGCTGTTCCAACCCTTCGAAATCATTTGCTAGGGGGATGTGTAAATCCACCCAATCTCGCTACAACTAGACAAAATTATTCCATAGTGCTGACATCGACTTCCTCGACTCTCCAACAATACCACATGAAGACACTCCTATCAAATAATCAGCATCCGACGGCACCGTCTATGTTCACCACTTACCTGTATGGCTGGAACTTCTCAGAAATCTCCTCCATCTCCTTTTCACTCATGTACTTCCACTTTCCACCCTTCGACTTCAGCTTCCCAACGTCTCGGCCCATAAGTGCCGCCATTCCTCTCTGAACCCCCAGGTCACCAGTTGAGAACACATCCATCCGCTTCAGACCAAAACAAGCGAACATCTCTACGCTCCACTTTCCCAGTCCTCTGACTTTGACCAATTCTTCTAGAACCTCTTCATACGAGGCATTGAACAACATCTCGGTAGTAATTTCTCCACTATGGAACTTCTGAGCTAGCCCGTGGACGTACTCCGCTTTACGTTGTGAAAGCCCAGCAGTACGGAGCACTTCAATCGAGTTTGAACAGACCTGGGACGGAGTGGGGAACGAATGCTGAGCTGCATCTGGTTCATCCGTGTTGAAGAGAGCCACGAATTTAGCTTTGATGCTCTTGGCTGCTGCTCCAGAGACCTGTACTTTGAGTGAGTATAAAGTGAAGGAAATTGAGTTCACGGAACGTACCTGCTGGGAGATAATCCCGCTCACTAAGCTCCTGAATGGGTCAATCTCTTCAGCCAATCCTTCTGGTGAGAAGACATGACAGTGATGCTTTTCAATGACTGCCTTCAGTCTAGGTTCTACCTTGACGAGATGTGCCAATGCCTCTTCGAGAAGCGTCCCAGTAGTTGACTTGATGTTACCCTTCTTTGAAGGTGACACTTGATCAACGGCCTTATTTGCAAGGAGTCGATGAGTCTCTGGTGTAACCAATGGTGCATTGGTGCCATTGGGAACTGCAAGTCGATTCAAAGGTGGCGGAGTGCTATCATCGATGTCACCGGAGGAGTAGGGGGCAGTCATCAGGCCGATTGCAGAGGGAGTTGGCGTCATTGGCGGAACGGATTTTGTAGCCTTCTTTCTTTTTGGTGTCGATGGTGCAGCAGCAGGGACGTCGTCCTTAGACGGGTTCTTCCTCTTCTTGCTGATATTCGCTACTTGCGGAGGAGGCATATCGTTTGCGGCGCTCGAAGCCTGCTTGAGGTTGGGAGATGCCCCACTCAGCCGAGCTGATCTTCTGGACGACATATTGTATGCTCTTGACTTGAATCGCGGATTTGGGACTTTGATCACAGTATTTTGTCCGAGTGACAAGGGCCGCTGCAGCCTAAAGAAGGAGGTTCGAAGAGCTGCCGTAGCTTGGATATTCTGGAGACTGTCAATTGATGAAGCTTCAGAGGTTGTTGATTACGATTCCAGAATGTGGTCGGGAGAGTTAAAAGCTCAAAAATCGCTTGACCGATGAACAGAGGAGGATGTGACTTGGAGGGCGTACTGCTTTCACGTGACGGACCCCTTTTTACTGGTAGGCTCAACTCGCAAAACCAGGTACCAGTGATCACTTGCGCAACTCTCAGACTTTTTGGTGTACCTATCCGAGAGATGTAGATTAGAGTAAGAGAATACAAGAAAATATAGCTTGTGAATTTTGTGTGACAATGGTATTCGTGCAGGAAGCTGCCCCGGCTTCGAGAACAGACGTTCTTCAACAGCCTCGCTAGTCTGGCTTGGCTCCCAAAATAGTGCCGCAGAGTACGAACCTCCCTGCGCGTTCTCTACGTCTTCAATCAACTCACCAAGCGACCATAGCTTGCGATTCAGCTCGCCCATCCCCTCCGACGACAACTCACGACGGCGCGCCCTCCTTCTCCGGTCGAATTGATAGCAGTCCTTCCGCTGGTGGTGCTGAGGCCACGGGGGTATCGTCGCCATGCTTCTTCCTAAAGGCGGCGTTACGTGGAAGTCAGCGAAGGCACAACTCCCACCCACGAGAGCGATATGGGTCTTCCTCACACGGACGCGGTTCTTACTATGCGTAGCACTGGCAGGAATAGTCTTATTACTATGGAGGGGAGTTAGCACATCCGCATCGGAAATGCAAAGGTCAGAAGCATTCCCTCTCCTGACACTCATCCTCCCCTATAGATCGTATACTGATACTTGTGACAACGTCGCAGATTTTACTGCTGGGGACCTTCAAAACCACCAATGCAGATGACGCCGAACGAGGCAGCAGATTGGAACGCGCATTTACAAACACCAGTCATTTTCAACCACCACGAGCCGCTGGTGATAAATTCCTCTACAATTCAACGGGTTGACCTCAACCCCATTCAATCGACCCCAAAGGCAGTCCAGAATGAAGAACGAGTCTTAATTCTGACACCCTTGCGAGATGCTTCCGCCTATCTACCCAAATACTTCGACCTTCTCACCGAACTGACCTATCCTCACCATCTCATAGACCTCGGATTTCTGGTTGGGGACTCGACAGATGATACCCTTGCCACCCTTTCGGCCGAATTGGCACGAATTCAAAAGACGACAGACACATTGACCACACCTTTCAACAGTGTTTTGATTGTGGAGAAGGATTTCGGGGTCGTCACAACTCAATCCGTTAATGACCGCCACGCTTACGCAGCGCAAGCCCCGAGAAGGAAGAACATGGCGAGAGCTCGGAACTATCTGCTATCTGCAGCATTGAGGCCAGAGCATTCGTGGGTGTACTGGAGAGACGTGGACATCGTGGACTGCCCAAAGAAGATCCTCGAGGACTTCGTTGCACACGATAGGGACATTATCGTTCCGAGTACGTTTAACCGTTCTAGAAGACAGACTTCCCACTAACTCTGGCAGATGTGTGGTTCCACCGCTACAAGGACGGAAAGGACATTGAGGGCAGATGTGAGTTGTGCAGTGACCGTTTGAGTGTGATCTCGCTGATCCGCCTTAGTTGACTATAATTCATGGATCGAATCCGACAAGGCTCTCCGACTAGCATCTACACTTCCAAAGGACACAATTATTGTTGAGGGTAATTTTTCCGGCTAGAACAATATTTACTGTAACTGACAATTTTGGCAGGTTATAAGGAGTTCAATACCGGACGTACATATATGGCCAAAATGGGAGACTGGCGTCAAAACAAAGACGAAGAGGTCATGCTCGATGGCATTGGAGGAGTAAATATTGTAGTGAAGGGTGATGTACACCGATCAGGTATGTAGAAGCCCATGGTCTGTATATGTTCACAGCTGACTGGTCCCCAGGAATCAACTTTCCCTGCTATGCCTTTGAGAATCAAGCAGAAACCGAAGGGTTCGCCAAGATGGCAAAAAGAGCAGGATACGACGTCGTTGGGTTACCAAACTACGTCGTATGGCATGTAGATACAGAGGAGAAGCCGGGCAACACGTAATGAAGGAGCGATTCGTTGTTCTGCAACTGAGACACGAAAGTCCCTCGACCATGTTTTCACGCATATACGGAGTTCAGTGAGAGAGAAGGTCAAGAAAGAAAGAAAGCCATTGTTTGTGGAACCTTGAGAGGCAATATCGATGACGGGAAGAGAAAGAGAAACCCACGACCACCATTTCCCTGTTTCAAATTCCATTCTTTGTACCGATATTTTGTTCGGAAGTTCCAGAAACCATGGCTCTCTCTCCTTCTCCTTTTCTCTCTTGAGTGTGTGGGTGTACCTCTTTTTTTTTTATAGTCAGGACGGAGTTTGATAGGTTTCGATACAGTAACCGCATGGGAGTCCTTTTTCCGTGCGTGTGATGCGCAAGAATGGGGCAAATGGAATGGAATAGATGACTTGCACGCTGGTCACCAACTGTAATAGAAGGTCTTTTTTCTGCTATCATCTGTCTATGTAGGGGTTGAGTTGTGTTGGAACGGCCGTGACGATGCCAGTGGCAAGAGATGAGACGAGACGAGATGAGTGGGGTCTGTATGTATACTGGATTGAGAAGTTAATAGAATACCTTGTGATCTCGTTTCTCCAATGTGGATACCTTGGGCAATCATGAAAGGAGGTTGGCACAATGGATTTCTTTCCTTCTTTCCTTGATATTGGCCGGGTTCTGTGTTGAAATGGGTGGGATCTACCTCCTTGAATGCCGTCATTTCGTGTATAAGTGTCGTTCTTGAGCAAAAAAATGCTACTTGTACGTACCTATTGGGTTATTTTTATGAGAGGGACGTGGTATTGAACAGACTAGGGGACTATCATTTTGACATGCATTTACTGCTTGCTGCTGAGAGACTACTTTTGGATGTAGCAAAATAGCTTGAAATATCCAACAGGATATCTTGTGAGCAAACATGCGCTTGGTTTGAATAACCTTGTTGACTCAAATGACCTAGAATTTTCCGTGCTTTACTTTAGGTTGAGTTTGTCAAGCTGCGCGGTAGACAAATGCTCCTCACATATATATTTCGCTTTGAATCAGATCATTTCAGTTTGCCTTTCCTCACTAAATCTTCAATGTGGAATTGGAATTGCTACGAGAGGGATATAAAATCACAACTTAAAGCCTCACTATCCAAGTATAATTCATAACTTCCGCTGGCTTTTTGGAAAAGGTCATTGGCCTGCTGGAGATATGTGTTATGTTCACCATCGGCTCCAGCGAGTAGACCACGGCAATCAGTTCAACGGCCATCCACAATCCTAGGTAGATCTCTCACAACTGGACATGACTTCAATTGGCCATACCATCATGGTACATTAGAGGCCGAGCAGACTGTAAGAACGACGCACATAATTCAAGGCCATACGCAAATGCTTCTCATATCTTCTTATGACTTCTTGGATTGGGTGATCAACGTTATACAGTACAGTCCTCTCCCACTTCAACGACCCGTCTAAATTCCCGCCAGACCATTGTACACATCATATCCGTTTGCCCCCACTTATTTCTTCTTGATAGACAACGATTCCAAGTCCGCACGTTCTCTTGCCTCCGCTTCTATTTCCTTGATGATCGGTGACAGATATGGAATATCCTCATCGGGCTTTGTCTGCTGCTCCTTCGGAAGAAGCTGGTGAGCAAGCGAGCACTGCAATTGCTTAGCCAATTGTCCACGATCACTATCGGATGACTTTGGTTCCTACCTGGAAAGCCCGTCGAAGGCGATAGACACGGTCGTAGGCTTCCTTTGGCGGAAGACGCTTGAGGGCGAGGAGAACAGTCTCGGACTCTTCGGGGATCAGGTCATCGGCTCTGCAACGTCCAGCATATTAGCACAAGTTCGCCAAAATCCTCATACAATTCGCGACGATGCCTTGAACTCGTCTCAATCGCCTTCGCTTGTCCGCGGGAGGTGTGCATACCTCAACCCGAGCTTCCTGTATCCAGCAGCATTGGCGTACCAATTGGCCAATGGCGTCATCCACCGCTTGAGCCATGGCCGTTTCACGATATAGCCGGCAAGGGATGGTTGAGACATGTTGCTGTCGTGAGGTCGAGTCGGAACGGAGCTCTCTGGTAAGTCCCTGATCAAATGGAGGAGTCGTTGAAGCTTTCTCGAATGGCACGATTCAAGGATACGTTATTACGTAAGCGATGCCTCAATGGCGGACATAATTTTGAGGGAACAAAGCGTAGCACGTGATATGGACGTCCACAGGCATTCGCAGGAGAAGCATCGAATCAGAGCCCCTTGTTCTTAAGAATGTCGATATGATGCCTCCCCCACTCCGCTCCCACTCTGCAAGTTTCCCAGTTCAGACCGTTACTTTTCCACGCACTTTAAAACCACATCACGAGACGCGGCCACACACCAAACTGTAATCAGATCTTTACGAGTCTGGTCACTTTCGTAAACCTATTTTATTCGTTGTCAGCCGCTCAAAAAGCGTCGATCTAGCGGATTTCTACCCTAGCAACGATTTCAAGCCGCCGATCAAGGAACCAGCTACCCACTCCCACCGCTCTCCGAATTTGCTGCAAAACCTCAACACGACCTCTCCACCCTTGCGTCTCCTTCCTTTGTCATACAATTACGAGCGCCGGTCAATCGTCAATGGCCATCGATAACCGTTAGCTGTAGTGTCACTGGAGGTGCCGTGGGATTGAATTCCCCGCACACACCGGGACACGATACTAGAGCAAAACGGACAACAGAAAGAGCCTGCTTACTCGATCTTCGGCGAGCAGCTTCCAGCAGGTGGCCTTGCTCCTGCGCTGCTCTGAGGAGCTCAGCCAGTACTCGCGCCGGTCCCACAATTACGATGTCGCATGAACGGCGCACGCGGTCAGCTACGGGAGCAGACGAATTTGCATCCTCTCCTCCAACTTCAGCTCCATCGTTTGCAAAGACAACGTCCAGCTTCCAGCGAGAGAATGTGCCACTCACGCCGATGGAAAGATGGGCCATGGCCAGGTCAAACGACAGCTTTCGAGCTTTGGCCGGGGCAGCGGGAGGGTTCACCTCGGGCATTGTCACATGCCCCTTGGATGTGATAAAGACGAAGTTGCAGGCACAAGGGGGGTTCAGGGTCAACAAAACTACGAACGCGGCGTATCGGGGTCTAATTGGGACCGGTCGAACTATATGGCGGGAAGAGGGCCTTAAGGGATTGTACAGAGGTTTGGGACCGATAATTCTGGGGTACTTGCCCACCTGGGCAGTCTGGTTTACGGTGTATGGGAAATCGAAGGAATTCATTCCCAAGAATTTCAGTATGTCTCAAATGGGCGTTGAGGGCCATGATATTCTTGCTAACAAATGTTACAGAGACCGAAAATGTGTTTGCTGTCAATTTCTGGTCATCCATAGTGGCTGGCGCTACTTCGACAATGGTCACCAATCCGATATGGGTAATCAAGACTCGGTTGATGTCACAAGTGAGCAGGAGAGCTGTTTCGAATGATTCCCGACCTCCCTGGCATTACAGGTCGACCATCGATGCAGCCAAGAAGATGTACAGAAACGAAGGAATTCTGTCGTTCTATTCCGGTCTCACTCCAGCACTCCTTGGCTTAACCCACGTTGCAATACAGTTTCCGGCGTACGAATATTTGAAGACGCAGTTCACTGGACATGGCATGGGTATGTCGGTAGCAGGAGATGAGAGGTCACACTGGATTGGAGTCCTCTCGGCAAGTGTTTTGAGCAAAGTCCTGGCTAGCTCTGCTACATATCCCCATGAAGTCATCCGAACCAGGTTACAAACCCAGCAAAGGACTTTACCTTCTTCTTCCTCCGAGTACGCGGCGTTCCGAGGAGGACTTGAGGGCAGCGAGAGCCATGGTCCCGCCGAAATTATTGCAAAGACCAAGGCTGCTCTTCCTCGGTACAAAGGAATCATTAAAACTTTCAGGATCATTTTAAAGGAAGAAGGTTGGATTGCTTTCTACGCTGGGATGGGCACGAACATGATGCGGGCCGTGCCAGCCGCTACAACAACAATCCTCACGTACGAATACGTAATGAGGCACTTAAATCACACAAAAGCAGAAGGAATACGAAAGTCATCAGCTGGATGGTGACACCAGAGGCACACTGGTACGATGAAGGAGTTGATGAACACGCTGTATAGATCTCCAGGGCTCTTCGTTCACAGTCGTTGGGTACGGAGAAAGGGGAACTGAATTCTAGGAATTTTCTTTTTGTCCAGGCGTTCGGTCTGGACTCAGCGTTGGAGGTCATAGAGATCCATGACATGCATGGGTTTGCGTTCCTCCAAAGGGATATAGTACAATGTGGATACAAGGATGATACCTTCCGCTCTCGAAGCGGATCGTGTAGTTATAGGCGGGAGGAGCAATTCTTCCTCCAAATTTCATGCCCGACAACTGTACAGTGCTTTCAGTAATAAGCAGAACGCCAATAAAATCCATAATTGATCACCCGATTCAGGAAGTTCCCAGAAGACAAGGTCGATCTTGTTGACTATTGGAGTCTCATTGACTGGGTGACGTTCCATAATCGAGGAGCTTTAAGTAGATCTGGTACATTTATCTCGTAACTCAGAGTTGGGATGAAGTATTAATGCACCAGAAACCCGGAACATCCAACATGGAGATTCTTGTCAATGTAACAAATAATCTCTTGACATTCACATTGGAGAATTTAACCGATTTATCTCACCAGGAAACAGCTGAACATTCAAGTTTCTCCAGATTTAACGTTTCAGCATTCAGTTGATAGTCTATAGGTACGAGGCAATTTATGTATAAGAGCACGAGGCCATCATTAACCACCTTTGGTCATAATTATAAGTTTCCAATCCGCTAGAGTAGCACCTTTGTTGCCACACTCAACAACCATGCTGCATCTTGCCAGCCGCCAGCTTCGTCATCTCTCAGCGGAGGCATTACTTCACCAGTCAGGGATTCTGTAGTTCCATCCAGAGTTCGCCGAGACGTTCTTGAGGACAACTCGGAGTCCTCCCCTTTCTCGTCCACAATCTCGACTTCGGTGTCCTCACCGTCTTCATCTACAGCAAATAAACTCCAACCCAGCATCCTCTCAACCCATCCTCCGAGACCCAAACTGCTTGCTCTAGCCAGCTTTCTCACAATAGCCTCATCCTGTTTGGCTTCATCTTGATCTTCGTCAGTCTCCGCCTCCTCTTCAGCGTCAACGAAATCTGGTTCCGCATTAAACTCGTCTGAGAACGCTCTCTGATCAAAATATCCTTCCCGTTCGCCGCCCATTGGCGTAAAAATTTGTGCTCTGCTGCCTCTCCTGCTATTACCTCTGCTCCCATACCGACTTATGGAACGACTGCCACCAGTAGCAGGCCCGAAGCTCAAACTCCGCCTCGTGGTCACCGGCGAGAACTCATCGTCGGCATCGAATGTGCCAGCAGCACTGCTCCTCCTACTATGTCTCTGACTAGCCTGTTCCCTCTCCCTAGCAAGCTCTCGCCCCAATTCCTCATCCTCATCACCATTCTGTCCCGTCAGACTTGTAGAACTTGCTCGAGACACTAGCCAAGCTTGTCCTTTCGATTCTCGCGTCGACGAAGAGATAGCAGCACCAGCGCGTAACAGCCAATCTGAATCATTCCTATCCTTCGCAGACAGAGAGCTGAGACTCAATCCATCTCTCGTGTGACCCTTCCGCAATCTCGTCCCACCGGGTGTTGTAACGACGGACCGAGGTTGCCGGGATGGCAGCAGATGTGTACTCGACTTGCTCTTTGGCAAGGAGAGGTTCGTTTGCTTTTGATTTCGGAGGGAGACTCGAGAGGAGGAGCGGGAGAGAATTGACGGTGTGGTTGGTGCGGAGCGACCTTCGATGTACGAGATGTGCTGGGTGTCTGGGAGAGCGTCTTGGTCGTTGAGGGGAAGCCGGGAGGTTAGAGGCGCTAGAGTTAGGTGATTGATGTTAGTGTTTGAGCGGCTGTTGTGCCGTGAGTAAGGCGAATGTTGATTGTATGCTACATCCATGATTGTTCGAAATGAACTGATATAATGGGTGGTGATGAGGAGAGGAGATGTCGGGTGGGATTTGAAGGGCGGGAATCTGGGGAAGTGGGTCCAGCAAGATGCTCGTCAAAAATTTATCTCGTGAAGATGCCAGGGGTCTGGGTTTTATATCAACTCCATGAAAATGATCCTGAGGAGTTAAAGATCAAACTCCGGCCCGAAAAAAATGCGCAATCTCAGGAACATCCTCCATGAGAAATGGGAGCCTCCTGCTCAGTTCCAGGGACGACCTTTGACCTCTGCAACTTGGGATCTAGCCAGTGACTGTGTTCTGTGCACTTTTGGGCCAACTGAGACCGATGCTCTTATAGAGTTGGTGAGAATCAAGATAAAGCAAAATACCCAGTATGTCAGCTCTAGGCTCTCCAAGAAGATTTACTTATCACCTTTAGTGAGCATACAGTCATCACATCTTGGGACGCACCCTGCCCAAATCCAGAGCTTTCATGTGACGAGGTTCTGAGTCTCCACTATTTTGGCGACAGCTTGACAGCATGTCTTGTCCTAGCAGGTGGAGATATCATCGTCGTTAGGGAGGAACCTCTGGCAGGAGAAGACCGGATTGAGATTGTAGGGTCCGTGGATGCTGGCATCACTGCTGCAAAATGGTCACCTGACGAGGAGCTCCTGGCTATCACCACCAAGGCAGATACGGTTGTCTTCATGAGTCGGAGCTTTGAAGGGGTCACAGATGTTGCTATGACAGCAGAAGATCTGAAAGCTTCGAACCATGTCTCCGTTGGCTGGGGAAAGAAAGAGACTCAGTTCAAGGGAAAAGGTGCCAAAGCCTTGAGGGATCCAACTATGCCCGAGAAGACCGATGAAGGTGTTCTGAGCCCCAACGACGATTCTCGGGCTACCATCAGCTGGAGAGGAGACGGCGCTTATCTTGCTATTTCGACCATTGAGGGTGGTGCTAGACGACTGATCAGAGTTTACTCGAGAGAAGGTGTCCTGGATAGTGTCTGTGAGCCCGTGGACGGTTTGGAAGGAGCTCTCAGTTGGAGACCAGCAGGCAATCTTATTGCTGGTATCCAACGATTGGATGGCCGCATCGATATCGTCTTCTTCGAACGGAACGGTTTAAGGCATGGCCAATTCAGCCTTCGCCTTACCCCTGAGGAACAGCACTTGGCAGGACAGCATATTCGACTCTCCTGGAACTCAGATTCAACAGTATTGGCTGTCACCTTAACAGATTGTGTTCAATTATGGACTATGGGCAACTATCACTGGTATCTCAAGCAAGAGATCAAGACCAGTTCTTTGCTTCCTACAAGCTCTGTATTATGGCACCCGGAGAAGTCTTTGAGGTTCGTTGCCGCTGCTTCGGGTAAGGTTTTCAATTACTTCATCTTTCAGTGTTTGCTAATAAACCTCAGACTATCTCAGTGTCATTGAACACATCTTCACTACAGCTCGTGCATCTTTGGCCCCGCCACATGATTATGGTGTGGTGGGGGTCATTGATGGACACTCCATCAAGGTTACTCCTTTCCGGACGGCTAACATTCCACCTCCCATGAGTTTATATGAGCTAGAGGCACCGTCGAATGCTATTGATACTGCTTTTAATTCGGACGCCTCCCTGATTGTTGTCTTGCATCAGACTGGAATCTCTATTTTCGGATGGAAGAGTGTCGACGCCTCGTTTTCACCTCCAATGCTCACCGGTCAAGTCACATTCGCGAAGGATGAAATGCCAGAAGGCACTTACCACCAGATATCATTTGCTGAGAAAGGTGAAATCTTGGTATTACAACGAGGCGCAACGGGAGCTTCACTCAAGCGATTCGGTTTCAATGACGAGACTGGTAGGATGGAGGAGATAGTGTCGAGAACTGCTCCTACGTCCAGCATATCTAGCTTGTCAAGCTTCACCCAAGAAGAATCGACGCATCCTTATGTGCAAGGAAAGGCAGGAGATTTGCACAGTCTGACATTTGGGGAGCATACTTTATCGCATTGCAACTTTCCTCACTATCTTCCCTGGACTGAAATAGTACCATATGGGGAGGATCATATTGCCTTTGGCATGTCTCGGAATGGCCACCTGTACGCGAACTCACGCTTGCTAGTGAAGAACTGCACTTCCTTTCTGGTTACTCCAGTCCATTTGATTTTCACCACCACAGCCCACCTCTTAAAATTTGTCCATATAACACACATCAATGGTAACAATTCCCTCTCTTCTATCAGATTATAATACTAATTCCGAATAGAGCTTGAAGTTCCGCCTGATGACCCGGAAACGGATGAGCGCTGCCGCAGTATTGAGCGTGGAGCACGGCTGGTCACAGCTATGCCAATGTCCCTGAGCCTCGTTCTCCAGATGCCAAGAGGTAACCTCGAAACCATCTTCCCTCGTGCAATGGTTGTTGCAGGTATCCGCAAACTCATCGAGGGGAAGAACTATAAAAAAGCCTTCACTCATTGCAGGACTCAGAGAGTTGACATGAACATTCTTTACGATCATGCACCGGAGCAATTCCTGTCCAACGTTGCACTTTTCATCGACCAAGTCAAGAAGATCACATATATTGACTTGTTCTTGTCGTCTCTGAGAGAGGAAGATGTCACGCAGACAATGTACAAAGAGACTCGGGTTTCGCGAGACCTGGAGAATGGCATCCCTGCTTTCAACGACCTGAATGGCGTGCCTCCTCAGCCGCCAATTGTCGCAAGATCATCAAAAGTTAATAGAATCTGCGATGCCGTCTTGGAAGTACTGAAGGCCAGGACTGCAACAAATCTACAAAATATTATCACTGCAAACGTCTGCAAGTCACCGCCAGCACTGGACGATGGCTTATTAGTCGTGGCCAAACTCATGAAGAACGACTCAGCAGCGGCTGATAAAGCTGTGGAGCACATCTGTTTCCTGGAAGATGTCAACAAACTCTACGATAATGCTCTTGGATTGTATGATCTCGATCTCGCGCTCCTGGTTGCACAGCAATCACAGAAGGATCCCCGAGAATATCTCCCTTTCATGCAAAATCTACAACAAATGACCGAACTTCGGCGACGGTTCAGTATCGACGACCATCTAGGGCGCCATTCCAAGGCTCTCTCTCATCTACACGCTCTTGACGCCTTTTCGGAATTACAAACCTACACGCAAAAGCACTCACTCTATCAATCCGCTCTCTCGCTATACCGCTACAGCCCCAGCCAGCACGCCGCAATCACCTCCCTCTATGCCGAACACCTTGAATCCAAATCCTCCTTCAAAGAAGCAGCTCTAGCCTATGAATCCCTGCACAACTACCCGAAGGCCACATCCTGTTACCTCTCATCCGGGCCCTCCTCATGGCGCGAAACCCTCTTCTGCGCTCTCTCCCAAACGCACCCTTTATCTGGACCCGCACTCTCAGACCTTGCAACCTCTCTCTACGATGCCCTCATGGAGAGCAAAGACTACTTCGCAGCAGCCACAATCCAACTCGAATACCTCTCCTCAATACTCAACGCCTGTCGAGCTTTCTGCAAGGGCTATTTCTTCGCTGATGCCCTACATCTGGTTGCGTTGAAAAACGTCCCTGAATTACTAGAACAAGTCATCGACCCAGGCCTCGGAGAAGCATTAGCGTCAAGCACCGAACTACTCGCAGAATGCAAAGCTCAGCTGCTCGCCCAAGTGCCTCGAATCCGCGAGCTTCGAGCAAAAGCTCTCGTTGATCCACTCGCGTTCTACGAAGGCGAGCGAGGGGGCGGAGATGGAGAATTACCGGATGATGTGAGTGTGGCGGCTAGTTCGCGCTTGAGTACGAATAGGAGTTTGTTTACGCGGTATACGGGGAAGGGAAGTCAGGGGCAGAGTTTAGGGACTGCGGGGACGGGGGTCTCGAGGGCGACGAGCAAGAATCGGAGGAGGGAGGAGAGGAAGAGGGCGAGGGGGAAGAAGGGAAGTGTGTATGAAAAGGAGTATCTTGTTGCTAGTGTGGGGAGATTGATAGATAGGGTTGAGAGTGTTAGAGGGGAGGTTGAGAGGTTGGTTGTGGGCTTGGTGAGGAGGGGGATGTGGGAGCGTGCTAGGGCGATAGAGGGGAGTTTGGCGGAGGTGGTGGGTATGTGTGAGGCTTGTGTGCCGGAAGTGTTTGGAACTGATGCGTTGCCAACTCTTCCTGTAGGTACAGGTGAGGATGGATATAGACCAGTTGGCGGAGATGCGGTTCTCCAAGAGAGCATCGAGGCAGCTGGGAAGCGAAAGGAACTTCCAGTCATCTTGCCATTTGAGAGACTGTCTTTGCTTGGCTCTTAGAATTAGACTGGCGCAAAACAATACAGATTCATACCAAGAAGAGATAGTCCTAGTCTACCGCCCGCCTGTACGCAGAATTTTTTGCAACGCCGTCAATGCCCTATGATATACACCCGTTTCTACATATCATACATCACGCCACTATCGTCTCTGGTACCTTTCCAACTTTCGACATGCCTGCTGCGCTCAAAGCTAGCTCCCGCTTATTGGCAATAATTTGCCCTAGCTTGACCAACATATCCGCCGTCAACTCGCCCTTCCCCTTCTGTTTCCTCATCTTCCTTAATTTCCTATTAATCTCTTTTAGCGGTGTCCGCATTTCCTCCGAGAGCTTCTTCTTCGCCTCCTTCTCCTGGTCTTCCTTCATCTTCTCTGCAATATACTCAGGATCATGTCTCGTCCTGAAAACCGAGTATTTGTTCCGCAGTTCATCAATCACGCTACTCGGCATCGGTGGCCTTAACAAGGTCGGCACAAAAGTCTTCGTCTCCACATCCATCCGCAGCGTATCGACCGCAAAATCCTTATGTTCCTTGGCCTCGACTTTCGGCCAGGGAACTTTGATACCCAGGCCGGGAATGATGCGAGACCATTTTTGCTTGCCGGTTTGTCGGTCAAACCACATGGGGCCGTTGACGAGCTTCTTGACGATCACGTCGCGGGTGATGCCCGTTTCTTGGTCGGTGAGGGGGAAGACGAGACGTACTTTGTTGAGGGGAACGGGTTGGGGGACGGTGCGGACGGGGCGCTTGTCTGGGTCTTCGGCACTGATCATGTATTGGGGGACTTCTATGTCCATCTAGATGCGTTTGAGTCAGTATTAAGGCCAATTAGATTTGCAGGAGAGATTGGGAGTTACATACCATGTTCAATCCTTCAACCGTACACTCCGCCCGGATACGGTCTGTTGAAGTGATCTTGCCAATCTTCCCCTTGTCTCTCCCTTCTAACAACACGACTCTATCTCCTTTCACAAGTGTCAGATATCGTCCTCCCACATCCTTCAACGCATCCCTCCGCTCGGTTGTGGTCAGCGTAGGTCCTCTCATCCGCTGCGTGCTAACCGTCCCAAATGTATCTTTCTTAACCCCCACATCTCTCCTCGGAGCCAATGGGCCCAATTCCCAATCCTCTCTTCTCTCAAACCTCCTCTGCTTGATCTCCTTCGCTACATCTCTGCGGACGAAAGCGTTCTGCTCCCGATTGCCCTTTGCTGCTTCAAAACGCTTCTTGTCTCTTTTTTTTGACAGCCGTCGAGCAGCTTGCTTCTCTGCTAGGACGGTCCGCCGGAGTACCTTCTGCATTTTACAGAGAGAAGGATGGTGGATTGGGCGCGGGGAGAGGTGTCGAGACTGAGAGATACTTTTTCGAATCCGAGCTTCGATATTATGCGCTAGTGCAGGGACCCCAGTCACACACGTGATCACAGATTTTCAGGGGGTCTGCGTTACACAGTCAGAATTACTGTATTTCATGAGAATTACTTTGATTCTTGATGATCACGGAGGACGGAGCTGAAGGCTGCAGAAGGAATAGGGCTGAACAGGCTGGATTCATTTGGCTGCAGGATTTCAGAAGCAGAGCTCTGAATCTGGGCCCCTTTTCCCGCGGATTGTGGCGGCCACAAGCAATAATGCATGCCATCGATTACCGCATCCGGGCTGACATAAATATTTCATAAGTCCTGGAAAGTCCTGAATTGTTGAGTTCCGTCAATTCTGACCACTCACCAACTGCGCCTCATCTAGCGTGCGTTGCCTATGGGGCTGGAGTCACTGGCTGCATGTCGGCAACGCAACTTGCAGATTGCTGCAGTCGTTAGCAGCTCAGAGCATGTCATTCTTCAGCTCTCCTATCCCGCAGGACTCGTGTTGTTGTCGTGTTGTCCGGAGCAGCGCGCTGCTCACTGTCGGTGCCATGGCGGACCGCTTTTGGCGACTCTTTTTCGAATGGGCGGGCTTTCGTACTTGACTGCCACATGTGCGCTTTAGAGCGGTCCAAAAACGAAAAAAAAAAATCAAATACCAATGGACAAGGGAGAAAATAGGACCGGAGCCAATGGTGCTGCCTTGTCGTGATCTGAGTGTTCGAAACGCATGTGAGGCTTGGTGATTCACGGCCGCGTCCCGGCTGGAAGATACCGAGGGGCGTGAGATATCAATATCCAAAAATAACTGGGACATTCAGGAGGAGATCCGGGACTTTGATATCTGAACGTTCGAAGGAGAAGCTGTACATTTTCGAAGGTTGGTCTCTTTGGAAATGCAAGAGATTTGTTTGGGGACTCTTAAAAGTCGGGATTCGTTGAATGTCCAGGTTACAACCGTATATCTATCTGCAGGGTTGCGTCGTTGGATGTCGGACGTCCCAGAGTGACCTAAGCATTCAAAGAATGAGCTCGGAGCTTAATATCCCGAGGACAAGCTGGAATCTTCTAAATTCGATATTTGGATGTTCTGAAGCGAGTGGACATTCTGAAATAAGGAGTCTGGATTGTGCAGGTTGAGCCAATACGATCGTGGGGCGCTGCATGTTCTCGAAATGCATGAGCGATTCGGAACAACCAAAGCCTCTGGATCCGAGACCTCGATATCTAGATTTTAGAAGGAGAAGATGGACACGTTTTAAGTAAGCAAAAGTCTGAATGGACAGGAGTAATTTGGAGCAATCAAAACTCAGGACTTTGTTAATGGACAGCTTGACTGCTGAACATGGCTAGGGTTCCAGTCATCGAATAGGCCAAGAGTGACTCGAGCACTTAAGAGTCCTTGGAGGTGGCCGACCATTCGCCGATATGTACGGCGCTGAAATGGATCATTACGACCTGACTGCTCTGAAAGTCAAGGTCCTGATTGTTCAAGGCAGACTTGGAGCATTCGTCGTGATTGTCCAGGGCGAAATGGTGTATTTATAAGGAGAAGGAAGCTCGAAATAAACAGAATCGCAAAGGATAACTCAATCCTAATCCCCACGAGCTGAATGCCAGAATCTGACCTGACGTTGAGTTTATCAGCCGCGTTTACCAGAGACAGAGCCGTAATCAGTACTCCGTGGTCCTTCAGGGCCCCCCATGCGCCTTCCGCCTCAGGCAGCCTGCCGCGCTAAGAATGGTGGTTGCTTCTTGCCTCGTCTTGCAACTTCGACCTCCAAAGAAACCCAACAAACCATCGCCGACGCAAACACCGTCTTCCACTCCAACCACAACATCAAATCGACACCACAACATGGCAGAGATCCGTAGAAAGCTCGTAATCGTCGGCGACGGAGCGTGAGTAACCCGACCTCAAGATAGAATCAGTACTGACCTCCCGATCTTAGCTGCGGTAAAACTTGTCTTTTGATGTAAGCAGCCCTCCTCGAAGGCGAGGATTTTTGCTGATATCTTCATAGTGTTTTCTCCAAGGGCACCTTCCCAGAGGTAAGATACCAACAACACCAGCACTCGAAGCCTGCTCCTGAGCGGCCCCTTCTCGATCGCGTCAACACCGCCAAGATAGCTGGATCCACAGCCAACAGCACAAGAACAGATACGATGGAACAAGATACTAACAAATTGGGCTCCTAGGTCTACGTCCCAACCGTTTTCGAGAACTACGTTGCCGATGTTGAGGTTGATGGAAAGCACGTCGAGTTAGCACTATGGGATACGGCTGGACAAGAAGATTACGATCGTCTCAGACCGCTCTCATACCCAGATTCGCATGTCATCCTCATCTGCTTTGCCGTCGACTCACCGGATTCTCTCGACAACGTTCAGGAAAAGGTATGACATGCCCCTTTTGATCCGGCCAAGATAAGAACCCGCTGACACGTGCCCCAACACAGTGGATCTCTGAAGTCTTGCACTTCTGCAGCGGCCTCCCAATCATCCTCGTTGGTTGCAAGAAGGATTTACGTTACGACCAGAAGACCATCGAAGAGCTCCACAAGACCAGCCAAAAGCCTGTTACTCCCGAGCAGGTAAGACCATTTTATCCCCAAATTTGTGCCTCCTACGGAACAGATGGATTGGAATTTGGCTGACAATGATATTTAGGGCGAGGAGGTTCGCAAGAAGATTGGCGCCTACAAGTACCTTGAGTGTTCCGCAAAGACAAATGAGGGTGTCCGTGAGGTTTTCGAACACGCCACACGCGCCGCGCTCTTGACCAAGAAGAAGAAGGAGAAGAAGTGCATTGTCCTGTAAAGCTACCAATACCGACCCCTCTTTCTAATGCGAACGGATTCTCTATGCTACGGCTCGTCTGGGTGATACGGTTGCTTCAGGCTGGGACACTGTGCTTACAGACGCTGTGCATTGCTCCTCTTTCGACCTTGATCCATCATTCATGATACTCGTGGACTCCCCCAATCCTCGCAGAATACATCCTACCTCATACAACAAAGCGTGCGACCTCTTCGTCTCTTGGCTCGGACACATCTTGGCATGGAGGCTTATTCTCTGTGCTACGCTATTTCTTCTCTGTCTCTGTGAATGCGTTTTCCGGAAGATCTTTGTTTTTGTGCTGCATCTCCTTCTCTCCTGCGCTCAGAATGGATCTGAATCGTACTGCTGCGTCTGTTCTTTGGGTGCGTCATCGTGGAGGGTTGGCAGGGAGACTGGATGCGCATTTTTGTACGGTGTAATAGCAATAGGGCGTAGTCTATCAAGAGATGCTTTTGAGAATTGGTGGGCAACTGCATGCTGGGTGTTGTATACGAGTAAACTATCGAGTTCTTTGTTGCTTTGGTGCTCTCACTATTGCTGGTCTTCTCCTACGCTTACTTGCCCCTTTTCCCTTACAACACAAGCCCAAGTCGGGCATTGATAATTTTCCTATGACCTATGATGCTCGGCCGCTGCAATATCTTTCACCTTTGCCCGCGAATTCACCGCGGGGAGAGCAATTCGTTTGCAGCAGTTGTACCACCTATGACATCGTGACCTTGCTTCAATTTCCTCCACCACTGCCTATCTTTCCCTCGTTCCCTCAACGACCACATCCAGACCACACAACGCGATTATTCCCTTGAACAAGATCTAGTACTTGCCTGTCTTCGCTCTCTATCTTCTCTTCTCAGATACATCGTCCGTGACTTGAGCAACCACCAATTCTCCTCTCACGCGTTGTGAGATCTTGCTTCCCCACCTTCGGACAGAACAGCACGATTATTCTCAAGGATACCAGTTGCAGAGCGAAGCTTCTTCCTCGATCTTCGATCTTAAGCTGAGCTTTGCAGAAAATTGAGCGACCACCATCTGCTCACCCGTAGTGAGATCCCTGCCTCCCCTCCTTCCTCCAACACCTACTTCTACACAACCAGCACCGCGCGATATTCCTTACAGCAACAGCACATACAGAGATCGAGAGCCTGTCTTCGATCTTTATCGGAATACCCACTTCGTCTTTCCGCCCATCTTGTAGATGTCTTTATCTTGATTTCCGCCCTATTCTTCGGAGATCAGACGTCTGTAAGTGTCACCTACTTGTTCCACCCAACTTTCTCACTAGAGTCGAGACGTTTATAGGTGTAATGAACTTATTCTCCGCCCATCTTTTGTTAAATAAAGTTCTTGCTTCCTTACTTTCCACCAATCTTTCTTTCTAGACTTAAGACGTTTATAAGTGTTCCCTGTTTTCCGCTAGTGTTTCTTCAGATAGACTTCACGCGTTTGCTTTCTTACTTTTCGCCAATATTTCTCTTTGAAGTTGAGACGTTTACAAGTGTAACATACCTGTTTCCCGCCTATTTCTTTAAGTTCAGACCTTTACAAGTCTTTTGCCTTTACTTTCAGCCTGTCTTTCTTTAGAGCTGAGATCTATACCCTTTTATCTCTAATTATATTTCCTTGGACCCCAGACGTTTACAAGAACTTACTTATTCTCCCCCAATTTTCTTTGTAGTTGACAAATTTACTTCCTTATTACCACCCATCTCTTCCTAGTTTTCAGATTTCCCTAAGATTCATCTTGATGATTGCTCTAGGGACAATGGTCTTGTAGCTTATGTCTCACTTGCGAGTTGTGAGTTGTGACAGGGAATGGTAGCTGTAGACTTTTGCGACAAAGAAGAATGGATTTGCGATAGGTAAGAGAAAGGAGTTAAAGAGTCGTTTTGACTTATGGAGTGTAGAAGATTTTGTTCGTTTTTCTGTTTGCAAGTATAGAGTATTCCTCTTTTTCCGCTCGTCTCTTTGAGAGTGTGGATGTCCACAAGCATGGAATAGTTCTCGGTTTTACACTTATCTCTCTCGTTAGCGTCACATATCAAAAGGTACCAGGATATGGAGAAGCTTTGTAGACGGACAAATTGCGCGGGATTGGAGGTGCAAATTACAGCGTGCTCTACTTGGCGGAGCTGTTTGGCCAAGTTTCTGTGGTTCCCAGAGTCAACCAGACCGAGAATCATCATTTCTTTCCCAGGCATGAAATCGTTGACTTTTGCAAGCGGAAATAACAACCACTTTACGGCCTACTCGCCTCTCGGCAGTGCAGGGTCACCATATCTATCTTTCTCGAGAAGTGAAGGGTCCAGAACATCGCGGATAAACATAGAGTGCTTCCGTCCACCGCTCTGCTTAGCTACCACGGTTGGTACCCTGTCTCGCTCTGTTAAGGTTTAAGAAATTGAGGCTTCTCGGATTTTAGCTATATTTAGTTTCATAGGGACGTCCGGTGCTTGCTAAATATGTTAATCCAGCACGGATTGTTTCCACCAAGCTCATTGTTGACCTCGATGCTGCCGACTTGGGTGACTTGGACAGCATCGTGCTGGTTCAAGTCGCTCAGCCCATGGGAGAATTATGACCGTATCCTCCAGCTGGCACCAAGAGAACATGTCTCGATCAAACTTCCACATCAGCTTATAATTCTTCTAAATTGATGATTCTTCATTCTGTTTATATAAATAGTACTCCTTCACTCCCCTCTAGTTCGCCATGCGTGTATTCCCCCGTAACCAGCAGGTCATTGCCAGTGTGGTATCCGCTCGCATATACTTCACAACAAGTTGGCGTGTGTGTCAGCTCAACATTTTTTTACCTTGGCGATATCGGATTAACTCGAATATTTCGATCAGCTAGCTCTTCACCCAGTTCTCTGGCCAAAGTATAACGGCGCCCTTGCTTGAGCAATAATCGGCGAGGTATTGAGCTTTGCTTGCTTGGTAGGCGGTGGCCGAGGCAATCAGCACGATTGATCCATCCCTGGGCCTCATCTCGGTTTGCGCTGTATAGAAAACACCAAGAACGTTGATAGCATAACATTTCTCCACTGACTCCGGGGTTCTCTAGAGGAAGGGGCCGACCAGGCCAGATTCCTGCGGCAGTAACACTAGAAAATGTTAATAGAAAGGACTCTATGCAAATCTGGCCCTTCTCGTGACAAACCGTCCGTCAATACGACTGAAATATCTTACAATTCCAGCGAAAAGGGCTTTCAAGACATCAAACTTCGTGACACCAGTCCTGTAGAAGTGGAAGGAAATATCAGAGAGAGAAAGCACCATTAGAGGGGTGAGCAAATGCAGACTTGTAGATTTTGGCCTTCGCGCCGTAGTCAATCCGAGCTTCGCAAGGTGCTCGTGTGGTGTCTCCAGGACGTCAAGGATGGCAACATTTGCCACAGCTTCAGCAACAGCAAGACCAAATGCCAGCCCGATCCCACGGGCACCACCGGTAATCATGATAGCCTTTCTTTTGAGAGAAAAGAGAGACTGGACTGCACCCTTCAAGTACTTGCTATTTGATCGATCGAGATCGAAATCGAGAGCAGCGGCGGAAGTGGCTATGGCGGTGAATGTCCGATGGAATGACGATGAAAATTAAGCAGCAACTTGAACTGGGCAAAATGAATGAAGGCGCCCGCATAAAACACGGCACAGTATTTCCTCGACGATCTGTTGGCACCAATAGAGGCATCCGGAAATAGTTCGCAGGCAAGGGGTTCGCCTAAATTCGCTTAAATTTACCTTGCGTCAGGGGTTGTAATCCAGTTTCCATGCATCTATCCATGATGACAAAGCTATCTTAAAGAACTATTTTTGTAAATTCAAACGCAATTGCATAAAAAACGCAGAGGCACACTCGGGTCCTTTAGCCTTTCCTATGAGATTGAGAAATTCGCTCGCTTCCACGCTCACAATGACACACGCTTGGTGTTAACATTTACGTCATAAAGATTGTGTATCGTGGACTAGTTATCTCAAAACTAGGCATGCCCTTGTCAAATATTTCCGTGATCTCAAGGAAGTTACCTATTGAATTACTACCCAAAGTTTGAATGTATAGCAGCTGGAATAAAGACAAGGTAAAAACTTTCTCCTGGTCTCATCACCGAAACAACAGCCTCGTTATCCAGATGGGGTTCTTTGTTAAATTTACTTAAGGGGCTCGGATATTAGCGTCTCTCAGCCTTCCTATTTGAAAAAAGTCAATAGAAGCGGCTTCTTTTTGCCCTCTTTCTTATCGATATCTTCTTCCGCTATGTCACTTCTTGAAATTTCCCTTCTCCAGAAAATTTCTTCTCGCACCCAGAACGACTACGCAGCCTCATAAATGTCTTCTTGTCTAAAGAGCTCTTAAGTGCATCAACGAATCTCCACAGGTACCGGAGATCTGTTGCTGCCTGCAAGGTTTACCAGAAAAACGATCTCGCCGTCGCCGGGTATTGCCCTTGCAGATCCCCACATTCATCGTGCAACTGCTGTTCCGTCTCAGCTCTCCTATTACAACGATCTTGCTACCACCTCTGCCGTTGCACTTGTGTCGCTATCGCCGTGACAAGCACACTATCACACCCTCATATCCCTCTCACCATTAAGATGTGCCTCGCTGTCACCCAGAACTTTAACGGCTGCAACTGCACCATTACCCGATATCTGATCTGCGAAGACCGTACGTACACTTGTGTCCTAGAGTCGTTCTTATATTTCTTTTCTTGGAAACGCAACGCCCCAGTCTCATAATACCAAATCCCGAGACACTGCTGTCTGGACTCTACCGCCTCACTATTACCATAACCGACCTCGCCCCCTTGTTATCTGAACTGCTTTTTCTTCTTCATCCTTATTTTTACTTCAAGCAATGAGACACCCTTATCCAATGTACAAAGGAGTGCTTATTCCGCTTATAACTATTAGATCGAAAGGCTTATCGGGTCTTGGTCAAGCCGCATTAGTTTCGCTATAATCTATTTCCTTCGCTCCGGAAAACAAGCCAGCTCCGCTCCTGTCTTCTAGATGACGGGAAGTCAATGTCGGATATCTGACAGAGTAGTGTCATTTCTCGTGTTGCTTCGGTTCCAACCTTCTATCTGCTTTAGATGACAAGAAGTGACAGGCTGGTACTTTCCCAAGCTCGTCAATTTCGAGTTGATCTTTCCTTCTAACTGCTCTATCCTTCGAGATTATTTTCACACGCGATAGAGACAATGACATATATCGCTCGCATATTTCTCTTTGACTTCAGATAGCGGGAGGTCTCCTTCTGGTTTAGCTCTGATTTCTCCGAAGCACTGACACTAACCATTACCTAGACGTTAACCATACTCGCAAGCAGATCGACAACAAGCCATGCTCTAAAGCCAAGAGCCGATTCGTTGAGATGGAGGGTGGTGGGTGTGGCTTTGGCAGTGCATGTGAGGAACGAGAGAAGGAGGTCTGGGTTTTCGACCACTTCACTCCCGACCAGGCCGATTTCACATTCCTCGAACTGCCTCGCAAGGCTCTCAGTACCAGCGTTCGCCCCAAGTGCTTGGAGAAAGGTCGCTTCACAAAGCACCATGACTGTGGCATTGGCAAGACCGTGAATGTCCCCTGGCGTCATGTTGACGGGGTAGGTAGCCGTCAGACCGATTCAGAAGCAAGAGGCTAATTTATGCAGGATGGCAACCCGATCAAGGAAGTGGCGGAGGGTGTCAAGAAGGAAGAAATGGAGGGTGTCAAGATGGAAGAAGAGGAGCAGGGCATGGAGGGAATACCAGCCAATGAGGACATCGATGTTGAGATGGCAAATCTTGATATCAAGCAATAGAGTATTTGTGAAGCACTACATACATGGGGACGATGAGAAGTGTGGTAGTTTGGCGGGTATGGGCATCTGAACATTGTGTGCCTTGAGATAATTGAGCCTTCTGGTGCCTTGATACCCCAAATCTCAACGTATTGCTTGAAACCAGAACTATCAAAGCCAATTCCGAGAAACATCCAATCAGATTGGCATTAGATCAAGCCTACACTATTTCACAAGCCAAAACCATGTGCGGGCCATCCCACTTTTGCTAACTTAGTCAGATAACAGAAACCTTATGGTACAAGCGTACAGTCGTACATAAAGTCTTTTCAATTTTTCCGGTAAACCATTCCTAGGCATCGATTTCATCTTCATCTTGGATCCCGCAGCCCCCGTTTACCCCTGAATCACGTGATACAATCAACAAACATGTCAAATAAAACTAATGTCCTCCTTGTGGGTAGCGGTGGGGTTGGCACATTGGCGGCGTACAACCTCGAAATCGGCGGTTTAGCATCAGTGACTTCGGTGTTGAGATCAAATCATGATGCTGTGTCACAGAACGGTTTTACCATTACCTCACTTGATCATGGCTATGTGAAAGGATGGAAGCCCTCCACCAGTAAGGAACCCTCAATCTTGATGAGACCTGCTTATTTTCTTCCCAGTTCGCAACTCAGTGCCAGATGTGGGTAAGGAATGTCTCAGGCCATTCGATTTTATCGTCGTCACTACCAAGAATATTGCCGATGTCTCTCCCACGGTTACAGAGACTATTGCACCAGCAGTAACAGCAGGACACACTACCATCGTGCTTCTTCAGAATGGCTTGAATATTGAGAAACCGCTTCTTGTTGCATTCCCGATGAATCCAGTCCTTTCAGGTGTTTCGCTCATCGGAGCAACCGAGACATCACCAGGAGTGATCTTGCACGACGACCGAGACCGCCTCATCATCGGCGCCTTCACGAATCCTAACCTCCCACTTTCCACTTCCATCACATCAGCACAAATGTTCGTCCAGCTTTACTCGGCATCAGAGAAAGTTTCCTGCACATACAACGAGAACGTCGGCTTCGTCCGCTGGAGGAAGCTAGTGTACAACGCATGCTACAACTCAGCTTGCGCTATCACACACATGGACACTTCCAGAATGAGGATATTGAAGTACCCAATCGATGATGTGGTGAGACCTTTGATGCTTGAGATTGTAGCTATTGCGAAAGCGGCTGGTCATGTATTGCCGGAGAGTATTGTAGAGGATATGATAAACTGTGATCCGGAGGACACTTATTTCAAGCCGAGTATGCAGCAGGATATTGAGAAGGTATCTTTCCCTTCTGGTTATTTGATTTTGTAGGGGTGAGAAGAGGTCTAATTGCGAGCCAAATAGGGGAATTTTATGGAATTCGAGAACATCGTCGGTGAGCCTCTGAGAGAAGCAGAGAAGCTGGCTGTCCCGGCCCCGAACTTAAAGATGGTATATGGACTGTTGAAGATTCTGCAGACGAATATCAAGGAGGCTAAGGGGCTTGTGAGCTTTCCGACAGGCCCGATCCTACTAGACCAATTCTAGGAATGGTTTATGGAAGTGCTGGTCCTACCTAGGTACTAGGCGACTGCCAGTTCTGCTTGATGTATCGAAGTTACGCAGATCTTAATTGAAAGAAATCTTTATCAATCGAAAGTTGATATCAGTGATCTGATTTAGAGTTTGGCTAAAATCCCGTCAGGCATCAGAATAGAGAGATGAGTCCTCGAGATATCTTTTACTGTCTTGCATCTGGAATTCTTTTAGCTCAAAAAGCCTGTTAAGTCAGAAAAGGAGGTTCATCACGCACCCAGCTAACGCCATGGTGGTCTGAAACTCATCCATCAGCAATTTAATTGCCAAATCGACTCCCGCCTCGCCATTATGCTGTCTTCTGTCAGCAAGTCACACAGGAATGCTACAAGACAATACGCACAGCCAGCCCCCAAATGGGCACCCTTCCCACGAAACAGAAGCAAGCTCCAAGAGCAAGTGCTTTGAATATATCAGTGCCTCTCCTAATCCCACCATCGATAGCAATGGGAATCTTCCCAGCTGCAACAGGAGCACATTCTCTCAATGCATCGAGAGTTGCTGGCGCACTGTCCAGTTGTCTTCCTCCGTGGTTGGAGATAATGACACCATCAAGACCGTGTTGGATTGCCAGTCTGACATCTTCAGGTGTATAAACTTCCAAAAAATTATATCAGTTTAAAGCCCAGAGATACGGAAAGGGCAGACCTACCACCTTTGACCCAAATTGGTAATTTTGTGTTACTTCTCAGCCAAGGAATGACGGTTTCCCAATCTGGAGTTGTATCTTCCTCATTATTAGCTTGGTGGGATTCTTTGCCGTTTCTGAGATATCTCACCGTAATTCAGGCCATCATCACTTGCTTCAACAGACGCTGCATTGGTCTTGGATTCGATGTTGGGGAAAGTTATACCTTCTGGAATGTTGAAGGAGTTCCGGTGCTCATTTATTCTTTTCCCCAGTACCACACCATCGACCGTCAGGAGGATTGCTTTGAACCCGCTCTCTGTGTGTCTATCAGTAAAACGTCAGAGAGTTCCTAACAACAGGAGGAACCCGTACTTTCAGCACGTTTCACCATCTTCAATGCGATGTTCCTGTCCTTCAGGAGGGTGACTTGAAAACCATAAGGATTCCCTTTCCCCTCGGCGATCACATCCTCCATCGGAGTCGTGGACCAAGCTGAAAGACCCATCGCAATGCCATTATTAGCAGCCGCACGAGAAGTGGCTACTTCCCCATCTGGATGAGCTAATTTGTGCATGGCTGCTGGAGCAAACCCCAATGGGAAAGAAACCTGGAGAAGCGTCAGTGCAGACATTCTGGAAGAATGGGAAGGTGTAACCTTTGTGCCGAAAATGGTAGTCGACATATCAATTATAGAGACATTGACGAGAATTCGAGGTCGGAGCTTATAGCGATTGTAAGCTTCCTCGTTATCTCGGAGGCTGGAAAAGCGTTAGCCATGAGCTAAGGATGGAAGAAGGCCATAAACGGACGTTATCATGTCCATAGATCCCTCGTTGAAGTATTCTGCTCTCTGTCAATAAGTATTGTTGCAATGCTGACATAAAACCTACCGCTGTACATCTTGGGCAAGATCTTGGATGCAGATTCCTGCAGATCACGGATTGTGAGTATACGAGGATCGAGAGCAGCATGGCGATTTGCCATCTTGTACGTCAAGTAAAGCAGGATGTTGAAGAAGACTTAAAATAGGAAAAAGTTGAAATTCTCTTCGAAGTCAATAGTTAAAATTAGAATAACAAAACAAACATGTTTCAAGAAGCGGGATTGAGCTTATCCGATCGTTGTACAACCCTTGGTTGATGTCAGGATAAAGTTCAGAAGGTGTCGGCCAGCAATCCTGTTCCCTGTGCTAGCTCCCGCTGAATAACAACTCAATCATGTTCCAGCAAAGATACAATAGTGGGGGGAGGAGAGGAACTTGTTGGCCCCACGAATATATGCTGTCACTTGACGCCGTCCTACCAACCTCATGCAGGATACTTCAACGAACCAGTCCCATCAAGCTCAGCTATTCGCAATTTATGGTTCTGATTGGTGCCACAAGAGTATCAAAGCCCGAAAGTGGGATGAGGAACCTCGTTATGACTTTCCGATTTCGGAATACTGTGCGATCATCGCGAAGTCCTGGGGGATAGTGTGGAGGTACACGGAGGGAGATCATTGCTATCTTTTGTTCTTCTGAAGCGAAGTTTTCGATACTTAGATCTGGAAAAGGGGTGGCTGGAAAACACGTGACCATGGGTTTCCTTGGCGTCTTGTCGGCCCATATTTTCTTTTTCTTCTTCTAAGCCGGCAATCATGCACCAACCAGATCCATCACGGTTTCGCATTAAGTTGATGTTTTATCATTCTGCAAGGACAGGTTTGAAAAGTTGTAGGCCTTGGTTCAGTTCCCGTTCTCGGCAGGTATGGCTGTTGTACTGAGGCCCACAGCTAGCTAGCGGACAAATCCGAGAAGCGAAAAGTGATTTTCTGATTTTCTGATTTTCGCACTAGCGCCCCGCACACCCCCCTCCTCCCCAAGGCAGAATTCCTAATTAGGGGTATAGTACCCATACGTGACTTTCGGCTTAGATAACGCAATAATAGTAAGGCTGCTTGCTTGTCTAATTAACGAAGTGAGAGCCCATACTACCGTATGAAATCGTGCCAAAATTAGGCCGGGTAATATAATATAAAATTAAGTATTTATTACAAATTACTATAGTCAGGTAACTATAGGCTATAAGCCCTTCTAGGATAATGCTATTAATAGGGTCTAATAACTTCCTTAATATTCCCGAGATTAGAAATAAGAAAATTATTAAAATAACTAAGAAGCCGGCTAATTACTTTTTTTTAGTAATTAATTAATAAAATTATATAGGAATAATATTACTCGAGTTTTTTAGTACTTATATTACTAAAAAGTATATTATAATAGTAAAGTATACCCTAAACTTAATTCCTATTAAAATAACTTAGTAGATTTTATTAAAATAATACTATAACTTTTAATAAATCTATTACTATATTATAAAGCTATTACTAAATAGATTTATATAAATATTAATTAAAAAGAAATTATAAATAGATTAAAAGATTTATATAAAATCTTAGTTAATTTATATATAGTCTAATAGTAACTATAAAAATAAAATATCCAAATATATACTTAAATAGTAAATATATCTTTCCTTTATATATAGATTATAATCCTATATTATCTGGGAGATATAAATAAGGAAATACTTGAGAATCTTAAAAATTATAATTATATAGCTTTAATTACTAGAATTATTTATATATATAAGAAGCTTAGTCTTATTTACTATATAACTATAATAAATAGGCAAGTAGTAAATAAGTAACTATTTATAATACTATAGAATAAGCTAAATAATAGATAGGTTATAAGTTATAAATAGTAGTATTTATATATATACTTCTATTAATAAGGTTTACTAGTAACCCGGTTAGTCTTTCTATACTTTACTATTTTGCCCTAGCTTAGAAGATTAGGGCCTTATTTACTAATATATTTTATTATTTATAGAAAGAGCTTATATATAATATTATAATTCCTAGATCCCGAGGTAATTATATTATAAATATAATAGATATAGTCTAAAAAGGAAGAATATATTATATCTGGGCCGGACTAGATTTAGTTAATTAATAAATATAATAAGCTATTATTATTTGGGATCGAGATATATATTTATATTAATACTTATTTATATAATATTATCTAAATATATATTAAAATCTCTAATTAGATTATTTATTTAATTATATAGTAATATTTTCAGATTTATATTCAAATAAGCTATTACCTTTACTTTTTTAGGGCTAATTAAGGCTCTAAACTTTTTCTTATTACTAAAATATATTTTATATTCTTATAAATAGCTAATTTATTAGTTATATATATAGAGAACTATTTTATTTCTAGGAAAAGTATTAAGAATTAGTAGGTTAAATTCTAGTAGTAAAAGCTTTAGAAAAGCTAGCTATACCAGTAGTATATAAGTAATTCTATTTCCCTATATCTGTCTCTTATTCTTTCTATTATTAGGAGAAAGTATTAGGTACTAATAATTATATTACTTTTTATTAAGGCTATTAGATCTAGTATTATAATACCGGATTATATAACTAATTCTAATTAGTATATATAGAACTACTTTTAGGAACTGGCCTATACCGGGAATTATAATTACTAATATTTATAGGACCGGATTATTTTACTAGTATTTTATATATAGCGGATCTAAAACGAGGTATATAGATTTATAAACTTATAGAATATTTATAGGATTAAAAAAGACAGATCTAGACCTAATATAATAGCCGGTAAGCTATTTAGACTATATATAAGGCCCCTAAATAAGGTATAGTACTAGAATTATCCTATAGATATAAAGCTTTATAATATAATTCTTAATAATTATTTAGTTTAAAATAAGTAATATAACCTTATATAGCTTTATATAAATAGTTTACTTATATACTAATATAGATATTAATAAGTTTCTATTAAAAGAAATACTAGAGTAGTACTATTAGAAGCTTATATCTTATAATATAAATATAGCTAATATTTATATAGAAAATACTAATAGAAATAATAACTAACTATATATTTAAGCTTATTACTAGCTCTAATATATAGTCCGGATATATATAGCCTCAGGGCAGCTACTAATATTAGAAGAATCCGAGAAGCTAACTAGTAGATATAATACTATTATTATACGGAATGGAATTCTTAAATAAGTTATTCTAATAAATATAGAATATATAAATAATATATAGGCCGGAAGAATACCCGTATAGTTCCTAATAGTCTAGGACTTTACTTAGAAATAGCCCTTTATTAGTAATACTTCTAATAATATAGGGTAATTAAATAAGCTAGTTATAAAGTAACTAGATATATTAAAATAAATATTATTTATTATTAAATATATTATTTTCGAAATCTCCTTTTTATTTTTAAGAGTAATACTAATAGAATTATTAAGTTTATTTATTATATAAATATTCTATATTCTTAAATTCTTATTTCTTAAAATAGTACTACTATTTCTTAAAACCTGCCCTAATACTATATATCCTATAGCTAAATACTAGTATAGTAATATCTAATATTACAAGTTCTATTAATCTACTAATAATAAATATAATATAGAAGCCGCCGCTTTACTTATCTAGAATAGTAATACTAATAAACTTAAATCTTATAGTTCTGAAATTCCGTTTATATCTGTTTTCTTTTTTATATCTGGGATACTTTAAATCCCTAGCTTTTCTTAATATTCTTATCCTATATCTTTTTTTCTAGAAATATTTACTATATCTATTTCTCTAATTACTATTATTATATAGCCGCCAGGTACTAGTTCTGCTCTATTTCAGGCTTCTCCTATTCTAATAGCCTTATAACTACTTTCTTTTATATTTCTTTTTACTATAAGCTATATTACTTAATCTAACTATTTTTCTAGTAGTATTTATATTACTATATAAGCTTAACGGGCTATAAATACAAGAGTTACTTAGGCCGCTATCTAGGTTATAGTTTCTTATACTAGTAATAGGCTATCTAAAGCCCTTTAAGGTCTTATAAATTAAAATGTAACCGGATCTAGTCTTATAGAATTATAGACTATAGTTTTATAGCTAGTTCTCTATAAATAGGTATTTAATAATATAAAGAATTAGAGAGCTAAATAAAGAACTATCTAATTTTCTAAAAAAGTTAATAGTAAGTTTTCTCCTATTTCTTTTACTAGATTCTTTATATAAATTCTAATAAATGTTTTTTAATAGGTGGCTTTTAATTTGAAATAAATAATCGAGTTTTTTTTATCTTTTCTAATATAGTTTCTTAGTAGCTACTTCCTTATTTCTCTCTCTATATTAGTAGACTTACTTGCTATTATTAATTTATTAATAATATAAATAAACTAGTATTCTATACTAGTCCTAATAATAAAAGAGTCCAGGAACTTATAGTCTTACTAGGTTTTATCTAAACTATCTTTAATCTTTCCTGCTATAATATATATCTGGGCCCTAAGAATATCTGGATAATTTTCCTTATTTTATACCAGGATAAGACTTTATATAAAGATATTTGTCTTAAAATTATTTATAAAAAGCTAGAAAATATTTAGAAAAAGACTTTATATAAAGATCTCTATTTTAAAGTTATTTATAAAAAGCTAGAAAATGCTTAGAAAGTATAGTAATTTAAGGAGATTAAATAATAGATTAAGAAGGCCTAAAGAGCCCAGAAAAGTATTACCTATTAGTATAGGTATAAGACTTTAAAAGTAAGGAGAGATCTAATAAACCGGTAGGTAAATAAAGGTATATATATAATTCTTTCCTTTAATTCTGGCTTCTATTCTTTATTTTTTCTATAGACTCTTTTTTGTTTTTAGGTTTAATTAACTTATATATACTAGGATTTTTCTTTATTTACTAATTTCTAGAAGTTATAAAATAATACGAAAAGTATTACTAAAAGTATTACTAAAGCTAATCCTAATAGTAATAATAATAATAATAGTAATAGGCTATTAGATTTTCCTTTAATTTTATTATTCTTTTCTTTAGTAAAAGGAACTATAATTAATCTTATAAATCATATAAGTATTATTTTATAATAATAAGTATATTAGAGATATAAATATATTATTTCTTTTTCTTATTAGA